AGGTGGCGCTGTAATAAAGAGTTATATTTTAAACTTATAAACTTCTTGCTTGAAACTATCAGCCATACGCTGATGTCATTGTCAATTTGTTAGTGTCTCAGTCAATGTATTATAATTATGTAATCTAATGTAACCAAAACAAATTTTACTGTTTATTTTAGCTTATCAAAACCTTATATTCATTAAAGGTTTTCTCTTATTTAAATGACTATTTATGATATTCGCTAGACAGTTGTTTCTATGATATTAAGGCGTGAAATAGTATTAAAATAGCAATAAACAAAGTAATAGTACTGTAAACGGTAAGAAAAAGGAGAAGAATCTGAAGTCTTCGCGCATGGATTCTACTGGCAATATCTACTGGAAAGCAAATGAATCATGCCTTCAAGCTTCATACAAAATTGCTTATCGCATTGCACGTAATAAAAAACCACACACTATAGGAGAGGATCTCATCGTACCTTGCTTGTCAGATGCAGTAACACTTGTTATTGGTGAGCAACATGTAGCTAAGATTAAACAAATCTCACTCTCAAACACTTCTATTCAAAGTCACATTTGTGAAATGAGTGCCGATATTCTAGCAACCGTTATTTCTGAAATAAAGGAAAGTCCTATGTTTGCGCTGCAGTTGGACGAGTCCACAGATGTTGCTTCGTGTTCAAAATTATTGGTGTTTACACGATACATTAAAGATGATGATGTAAAGGAGGAAGTAAGCTGGCTGGTACTTGTACAGACTGGGCGCCTTCAAGTTGCTCCTCAAGTTTTCGGCTATCATTGCTTGATACACCGATACGCTTTGGCTGTGAAAACGCTTCCACCAGATTTGCTAAACACGTTGAGTGACATAGTAAAAATTGTTGATCATATTCGAGGCAGCGCTACTAATTTAAGATTATTCAAAGTTTTGTGCAATGATGTTGGTGCTACATTTAATGCTCTTTTGTACCATACAGACGTACGTTGGTTATCAAGAGGCAAAGTTCTAAGTAGGGTTTACGAATTACGAGAAGAATTTGGATTATTTTTTGAAAATCAGAGAACACAAAAAGAAAAAGAATATTATGCAAAAATTAAAGACCAAACATTTGTTCTAAAGATGGCGTACCTTGCTGATTTTTTCACTGAAATTAATAGTCTGAATATTTCACTGCATGGAAATGAAACGAACATTTTGAGGTTGCAGGATAAAATCGCAAGTTTTTGCGCAAATTGGAACTTTAGCAACATAGAGTCCAAGCTGGTGATGTTTCAATGTTTACACAACTAAGTGAGCAATTAGTAAATAATAAACAAGATAAAATCACGTTTGAAAATTCCGTGGTTCAACATTTAACTGCCGTGATAGATTCACCGCAGCAATATTTTCCGAACATGGACAGTCGTGAGTCCTACTCTTGGATTTTAAGACCATTTTCTACTTGCGTCGATATTTTCAAGGGCGAAGATGTGTCAGCGAAAGTAGGGTTTCTCGGACTGCGGGAGAATAACTCATTAAAAGTTGATTTTCAAATGATAAACTCAGCACATTTTGGCGAAAAGCAGAATACCCTATTATAGCGGACAGAGCTTTAAAAATGTTGATTCCATTTGCTACAACTTACAATTAATTTGAAACTGGTTTCTCAACTCTTGTTATTTATATATATTAAATATTTTTTATATTTATATATAATATATATTAAAAACAAAAGCCAGAAACCGTCTGAATGTTGAGCATGACATGAGATGCGCGTTGAGTGAAACCGAACCTAATATTGTCAAACTTGCGAATGCAAAGCGATTTCAACCTTCACACTAGTTAACTCCAAGATTTATATATTAGGTCCTTACATATGAAATTGGCGTTTTGTATGGGAGGAACAAAAAGTCGAATATTTTTAAATATAATATATTTAATTAATTAATCAAAGTATGAACCATTGTTTTCTATGCACTTTTGCCATCTTATACGTAGTTCATTGATCCCTTTACTAAAAAAAACAGTCGGACGGGAATCAATAAAATCTGTGAAGGCGATTTGGATTGCCCCATCAGAGTTAAATTTTTTCCCTTGCAAGAAGTTGTCCAAATTTCGAAAAAAACGGTAATCTGTTGGAGCAAGGTCCGGGGAGTACGGAGGATGTCTTAGACATTCCAATTGAAGCTCTTCTAATTTGGTAGCCGTGCAGTGTGTGGTCTAGCGTTGTCGTGAAGTAGCAGTGGCGTGGAGCGATTGACCAGCCTAGGTTGTTTAGCCGCTAGCTTTTCCGCTGCAGGTCGAAATTTCCAGAACGAAAACGTTGGAACCAAAAACGAACTGTGTTTTCTTTTGCAGCATGACCGCCATACACATCATTCACCCTTCGAGTCTGTATGTATGTTTATCACTAATTGCCATATAACACGTAAAGTAATTTGCAGATTTAACATATGAAGTAGCAATGGAAACCTTTAAATTACATGGTGTTGATACATGCAAGCTTAATTTTAACTTTGCGTTATTTTTACTTAAATCGATAGATTAAAAAAAAGACTCAATATTAACTGCTTTGTTTGATTTGATAGATAAATTAATTTTCTTTAGTTTTCGTGTTTGCACTTTTTCAAACTCATCAACTTCTTTTTGATGAATAATTTTTGAGCCACAAACACTGTAACATCTATCTCATGTGGCTTATATTCTATGGAAATGGCATTGTAAAAAAATACGGCGACACTATTTGAAACGTGAAGTGACATTTGACATAAATTATTTGTCAAATTTATTTTGTAATTGCGTGTTATTTGCCAATTTGTATGAAAAGTAAAAAAAAAATATCTCATGAACCGTATGTTTCCGCAACCTAAAACTTTGCAAAACTTTCTTTTAGTGAGTAGTGAGTACTATCTACAAAAAAATATGGGCATTTAAATCGATGGCCCATATTGGAAAGTTTAATAACGTGAGTAAACCCAATATAATCAAATTTGATCCCTTTCAATGGCAAGGATAATATATAAGAAATATGACATCTAAAAAGTAAAGAATTGTATCCTAATAATCTGAATTTGTTATTATTTTGACCGTCATCTACTATGATCTGTATGTATTAATTTGCAATGATGATTAAATTTATTAACAAATTTTATCTAATTTTGTTTGTATTAGAAAATAAGGGTTTTAATTATTTAATGCTAATATAAATATTATCATTTTCCTTGTACTGTTATGAAAATATGCATATTACACCTATACCCTTGCACTATAAACAATGCCATAATGTTTGTTTCTAATTTGTAAAGTATAAGAATGGCTAATAGTTATGTTTTTAATGAATTTAAAAAATTCTGACAGCTCACTAGAATAGTAATATGTATGTTTGAATAGGTGTAAGTAGTATTTAAGATAATATATTTGAACAATAAATCAGATATGAAAATTGCTGTCTTATTCATTTCTCGCTTCCTCTCAAAATGGCCCTACCCGTAAGGCTCGTCAGTTAGCTTATGTCTCTTGGTGCAGACATCCCATACTTATTTATATTCATGTTACATAGTTATTATGTTTTAGGGCTTTAGGGATCCATAGGGTTGATAGGTTCTTACATCTCATCCTCTCATATATTTGGTTATCTAGTGAAGCTTGCTCATACATACACTACATATACTATACAGATACTTCTGACATTTAATACATATAAATATATACACATATTTCACAGTCCACTGGCTGGCAAGCTGTACAGTTAGGTAGACATTTCTTACTCATACAGCTTGTGATATCCATCTTCAAAATTTGTAATTACCACCAGAGTTCCAGCTTTTCCTTAGCAATGATTTGTCTATTTACTTCAATTGTCTTTGCTTTAAGTAACCAAAAATCTTCTGCGCATAATATGTCTTCGGATGTATGTAAATGTTCAATATCCAAAATATACTTATATAGCATAAATATATTTTTAATATTCATAGATTACAAATTTTAATAATAATAATGAATGAATTAATGTTTATTTATAATTTGATCGAAGTCCAAAGCCGAGGCGTATAATTCGCCGAGGGTCATAGGAGGAACTTACTGTGTCACATTTTCTTGACTTCGGGACATCAATGTGGCACTCATATCGGACACATTTGCGCCCCTCCGACTGCTGCGGGCAACGTCTAGGCGTCCGTTAGGCTATTATCAGGGCAGCTATACGCGGCTTGACAGTACTGGAGGGGCGAAGGATCCCTTATCGCACCATCCAAGACGCCCATCGGTCTTGCCCCCTAGGGACCTAATGCTATCATGCTACCTGGTCATTGTCGATTACAACGGCCGCGAGGCTTACCCTATCCGCGATTCAGTTTCTCTGATGCGGTTGTCAGATGCGTCGGGCTGAGATGTACGGTTCAGAGGCGACATTAATGGACCAATGTGCCATCCATACTTTGTGTCAGGACATCTTGGGCATCGCCACAGTTGGTCATACCTTGGAGGAATCGTAGGGTTCCCGAAAGCATAGTGTTTGGTTCTCAATTCTCACCCTCTCATATATTTAGTTAATTAGTATACAGCTTCCTAATAGACACGCTAACTTACTGTACAAATAAATACATATATAAATTTAAGTTAAGCTAAGTAAATTATTAATTACATGAACGATATATAGATTCGTTTAATTTAGTTTCCACGGATGAGTCCCTGACGACAATCTATGATAGTGTTGTGGCATCATAATCACTCACACAATAATTTTGTACTTGTGTCTAGTAGTTATAACCGTTTGCCTTGTTTGTAATGTATTCATGTTCGCCAGTCTAGATCCAACCCAGTGTACTTAGCTCGTAATAAAAAATATATATATTTATACAACGATTTTTGATTAAAGTAAGTCGAAGGTAGGACTACTACTAATGACACAACAATGACTACAAACGAAAATGAAACGAGAAAGACAAATTTATTTTCGACAAAGTTTATTTTTAAATTTATTTTAATTTTAGATAGGACTGGTGAAGTGAAAGAGGAGGAGGATGTCCTCCTCTTCGGGCTACCGCCACACGACGGCCACGTCGGGGTCTTCGTCTACGATCCTCCGCAGCGAGACCAGGTCGAGTCTCGCGCGGCAGCAAATTTCGTCCTCACAGAGAGCGCCAGTAAATAAGCGCCGGAGGTCGGTGGGCGAACCTCCTGGACCGCCCGGAGCCCCCGGTCCCTCCGAACCTCTCCACAACGGATACCTCTTGATGCAACGTATGAGCCCGTGCAGCTGCGCGAAGACGACGAGACGTCGCACGTCGACGTCAGGCGCGACGACCGCCCAGCGCTCACAAACGCCGCGCAGAGGGCTGCCTTGCTGCAGCGAACACAGCATTCGTCCGACGTCCCGTAGAGCCGTCTGTACACCGCGAAAGCGAATCGACAGAACGTCACAGAGTCTATTGAGATGTGTATTAACGCAAATGGCATCTTAATAATGATGAGGTTAATAACCTGTCGGCGCGCGGAAGGGGCGGCGTAGGCCAGACAGGCGGCCTGCAGCTCGGGATCCCGGAAGAAGCGCGAAAGGGCAGGCGTCGCCCGGTACGTGTTGCTGAACTTGAGAACCGGCACCAACCTCACCTGCGAACGAGTACAACTGACAAAACTGTCTCGGGATACGATTATACGAGCGCGCCTCCGTCACTCACTACGTCATAGTAGAGGAGGTTCCGTATGCAGGACTTGACCAGCGTCTTCTCGACGTCGGCATCGGCCGCGATCTTAGACACGTGATTGTAGCCGTCGATGTGAGGCAGCAGCTGAAACGATAACGTTTCACCGTAAGAAAAGTCTGGCCGTAACCGTTGAGGCGAAACGTCGAAACGCACCTGGGCGGTCGTGAGGTCCCAGTCGGCGTCCGGATCCAGGTGCGGCTCGTCGCTGGACGTGGGCGTCGGCGGCGGCGAAGGTGGTGCGACTCGGAGCACGGGCACGGGCACGTCGTGGTCATGCACCGGTGGGGGAGAAGCGCGCGGCTGACCCACCAGCAGGCGCACCGCAGTGTCACCCTCTGCCGCAGAGGCGGGCTCTTTAGAGAGTTCAGAAAAACCCGACTAGCGATCGCGAGGACGAAACTCACCCGCGAGGGTCGCCCTGTGATACGTATTGAGATCGTGGAACAGGTGAGCAAGCAGCGTGGGAAGTCTGCTCGACCCTTTTGACACGAATCCCGTCTCTTCCTCCATCAAAACCTAGAATTATTACACATATTTTCTGTGTGCAGGAATTATATTAAACCTCACTCAGTGACGGTGGAATGTTGGAACTCAAATGATTGAAAGAATCTGTCAAAAATCTTCTAGGTATTTAAATATTTATCACAATCAATATGCACATAAATAGCAAGCAAACTATACTTTCCAGTTTTGGCAGAGCTAATTGGGTTGCAGCATGATTTTTACTTAACACATTCAACCAAACAAATCTTTAACTACAATATAAATATCAAATTATAATATTAACATTACCAGGTATTCACCAAGTTTCTTAACGACTGGCTCATACTGAACCGTTTTAGACCAGCTGTCGCACACAAAGCACAGATTGAAGATGTACATATTGCGCTCATACCTAGTGTTTTCTATTCTGATCGGATAACCAATGATCTTGTGCCCAAGAGAATTTCTGGAAATCAAATAACATATTATTATTATCAACAGCTTTGGAGCATTTTCCCCATAGTATTAAGTACAAAGTGTTTATTCTATTGCACCTAGGAAGAGTGGTTACCCACAAGACAGGAATGTCGATGTGGGGACCAGCATCTGTTGAATAATGCAACAATAGAAATGGTTAAATTAATAATTAATTTTAATTTAACTTTTTTTTATTTAGGACAGTATGCTTTAATTACACTAGTAACTTGATAAGTTAGTATGTAGATCAGAATCAATTTTTGTGTTTAAAGTATAAACTATAAATATGATATGTTGTTCACTCAATATAGTGATTCTGAAGTGACTTCTGCCATAGAGCTGTCATTATATGGAAATAAACATTACATAGTATAGACAACGAGGTTGAACAAAACCAACCAAAGTTTAGTATTAATAGATGTTAAACTGAGTTACTGATTGTTTGAATACTTATTACTTACATTGTCATAGTGCACTTTAATATAAATTGTGGTTTTGGAATAATATATGCACTGATGGAATGAAATACATCTTTTGATACATTGTCTTCTGGGAACTAAAACAAAGCATGATACACAAAATCTTAAAAGAAACATGTTATGCTCTATGCTTTGATCTTAGACCAAATATTTCCAAATTCAAACACCTTTAAGTCTATATCGGCATGATAGATTTTTAAAAAGCCTAATAATGTAATCATGAAATATTAAACATTTATTTACACCATACGCTGGAGTATATGATTAGAGAAAGTACTTATGACATGCAAGTAAAAAAATACCTGGCAAACAATTTTTGGACCAGCCACAGGATGAAATTCACTCAAAAATATGCACCGTATGGGGCCAATGCGGCCGCAGCCCTCGTAGTAACGGGTTTCAATCGATTTCGAGGACATTGAGAGTTTTAGAATTGTATTTTTGTAAGTGCAAATAACAGGCAAGTATAAGGAAATCACTTTCAGACCATTTACAGTGTTTTAGCCATTTAAATTATATTGTTAATTTTTAATTATTGTTAGTCACAGTTAGGTACCGCAAATCTGAAATTGCTAAATTATAAACTCATTTATGCCCTAATATGAGAAAAGCCTCTCAAGAGTCAAGACTCAAATGATGTAAACTGTAAAGATCTAGTTTTTAACAAGAAATCCAATGTTGCCATTAATGTACCTATATGTTTTAAATAGATAATTATTCTTCGTAATCTGTATTAATTAAAAACTGCAATTAATTACTAAAACCAATAATTTCAATAATGAAAACAAAAAGAATTTAAATATTTTTATTTATTTATTATTTTCATGTTTTCTATATTGTGACTTAATTAGCAATGTATGTGTAAGTTTACATGTAATCCCTTAAATGTTAATCTTATGTTTAGGATAGTTTATGTTAATTCAAATGAATTCATTCTTGTCAGGGCATAAAATTTTAATAAATGAATTTATTAATAAATAAGTATACAGCGTCATAAACTTTCAGGTTCACGCATTAGATCAATATGATTTAGGAGCTGAACTCAAGAGGGCGTAAGATCAAATTTACGTTCAAATTTTAGTTGAAAGACGCCTCTACATTTTCTATTACATTAAAATTTACGGAAGATAGTAGTTTTGCTTTAAAAAATGAAAACAATTAAATTTGTTTCCTGCTTAGAACAAGAATAGCAAAGAAACCACGCTTACATTACAAATGATCATTGATTTTCTATCTCCATCGTATGCCGAAAATGAGATAAAATAATGCCTGTTAGGTAAATATATTGTATTGGTAAGGTCCAAATATTACAAAATTTGGTTGGCAGTAGTTTAATTCCGGGCTCGAGTTGTCCTTTTGCTAAGTTTTAAGTATCAAAATAGAATATTGAACAGAAATAACTATTTTATATACATTAATTATTTAGGTATCACATTTATTGTCTTGATTTTTCAAATATTTGATAACATGAACGCGTGTAACTCAGATTTCGAGGCATTCTCAATAACATGATGTTAGTTTTACCTTTACTTCCATTATCATCGATATAAAACTAGGGTTGGGTTTTGAATACCGTCGCACTTTTTTTATGATACTAACTATTTAGGAGTCTCGGGGGACCTTCATTGGAACATCATCATGATGTTTGCTGCAGGAAACGCGTCTAAGTATTTTTAAAAATTTAAAGTTTTGTGAAATGTATTGAAATTTGTAAACAATCCGCCATTTTCTACTTTTCTATTGGTTATTAGAGATGTGACGTTCACTTTCAAAAATCGTGTTTTTAATGTATCGATTGTTAATAATCGTTTTTTTTTTATTTATCGATTATTTCCACATTTTTTAAATTTAAAGTTATAGAATAATCAACATTGAAATTAACCTAATTCCATGTTGATAGATTATAGGGTTCTGAAATTTTTTGAAATTATCGATACCTACTCGTCTGTATTTCCTAATTAGTACTTGTATTTCATTGTTTGCAACTTTCTATATTATTTCATTTTTACTAGAATGAAGTGTTTACTTTAATATCCAAAAAGTACCCAAAACCGAATCAGAGCACCCCACTATCCACGTGGTCTTGTGTGTCTTACCCCTAGAGTGTAGAGAGAGAGAGAGAGCAGCCCCCACCCGCTGTAACAAGGCACAGGCATTATGAAAGCTGTAGCGGCTGAGGCTGAAAAAGCCGAGGTTGCGGAGGCTTGAATAAAATGCCTGTGCTTTGGTACGCAAGGGTGGAGGGGCTGCATTTCCCGTAGCGCCGGAGCTGTCCAAAAAAACAAATATTATTTAGATCGGTTAGGTTAGGTTAGTATATGAATATTTATTTTTAAAATAACTGTTCAACTGAAACTGATCAACTATGATTGATTTTCAATTATTTTTAATATTAAAATCGAATACAAAAATCGATTTTCACTTTTAAAGAAATCAATATTTTTCACATCCCTATTAATTTTATAAACGCAAACGACCATTTCGAATGTGGATTTTGCTAGAACAGTGTGTGAACAGTCTTACAGTGCAGAATATACGTTAGAAATCCGTTACTTAAAAAACCATTATTAACAATCGATTAATTAAAAAACGATTTTTTAAAGTGAATGTCACATCTCTTTTAACCAATAGAAAAGTAGAAAATGGCGGATTGTTTACAAATTTCAATACATTGCACAAAACTTTAATTTTTTTTTAAAAATACTTAGACGCGATTCCTGCAGCAAAAATCACTTGGAGGTGTTCCAATGAAGGTCCCCCGAGACTCCTAAATAGTTAGTATCATAAAAAAAGTGCGACGGTATTCAAAACTATTACCTAAAACTACATGACTACACCAAAATAATAATCCAGATAAAATCTTATTTTAATGCTTCTAAAATCAACAATACGTTTTCCAAAGTCACACCCAGCACCAACTTGACATTACACAAGGCATCTATCTATTCACGACAATTTTCACAGAAGTATAACAACCAATGATTAAGTCGAAAGGTTAAGGCAAAAATATCCTAAATATTATTATATTCTTTTTCTAACATTTTTTATATATCTATATATATACCATTTGTCATTTTAATGTGACCAGATAAAGCTGTCACTTTAAATGACTATCAAAGGTGTATGTATGTCACTCAATTTTATGGCTTGAATGCAACCATCATCCAAATTAATTAACGACTATCAAGCACATTAATGTTTACTACTCGTTCCCCCATGCCCAAAAGTCATATAATGTAAGAGACAAATAGCTATGTGCCGACTCTTATATTTCGGACAGGGCTCTAACTTCCTAGCTTTCTGCTTTACTTCTTGTTCGCCTTCGTGTTTATTCCTACCACAGGTGCGTTAGATGCGTACCACAGACTTATTTTACAATGTAAAGGTTTTGGTGGTAGATCAACAATTAAACTTCATCTGATGGATTAATAATGTACTTTTTTATACAAACATCCATATAAATTAACATGTGGCGTTGGTCTAGTGGTTTAAGCGAGCAAATCTCAACCCTGAGATCGTGCGTTAAATTCCTGCTGTTCACCGATATATTTAGATTTTATATGCACATTCGCTATAACAGTGAACCAAGAAATTAAACCGGCATGACTTCAGTTTTTGAGTTCAATGTCGGAAAGACTGACTTCAGTATTCAAACAATTCACTAATTCATTAAATATTGAGCTTGACTACATTTTAAAAGCATCTCTTTTATATCAAGATGTCCTTTTACATAATGTAACCGTATACAGTACTCACTAAACATAAACTAAACCTTAATAATTAAAAGTAACTTGTTCGCGAGTGGGGCCGTTTGCTTAATGCTTTCTTAATGCCACAGTGTGACGTTGTGTGTTGAGTTGTGAGGTCGTGACGGAGCGAGCGATTCGAGTACATACAGTTGAACATCGTAGCCCGTCTTCAAACGGTAAGAACCCAATTGAGCTTATTGATGCCACAGGAAATTGTCCTTATCAATCGTCCCAAAGTCAGTAAACACGTTATAAACGTCATCTATAAAATATACTGAAATTTTTTATATCCTATACCGTCATTTAGAGTTTCAGGGGATATGATAACAACAATATACATTTACATTATCTCGTTCAGATAGACAATGTCGAAGAAAAGTGCGCTAGAAGTCGAAGCCGCCGGGCAGAATCCGACTGAAACCACCCCGCTAGTCTCTAGAACGGTAAGTTTGGTTATTATTTTAAATTTATTTTTCAATGACCGTGATTAATTTACCAATTAAAGCACAATTAGGAAACTTAAATGAAGAGCATTAAGAGGAACGCTAAACCAGTACAAATGTGGCGACTCGTTTCACCAGCATACTTTCGTTTGTTCGTGTTAATGATCACACGATGTCCCCGAGAAGTTATAACTTACATACCACTAAATTGAACAATAATTGTGTGAAGATTATTAAATTGTTGGTCAATGTTTCGCACCCAATAGTAACCTCAGACATAAAACTCTTAACAACGAGTATATTGAATGGCTATTATTGTTAATTGTTTATCGTAGATGAGAGTCGCGACAACGAGTGCACGCCAGTCAGGCGTGACAGACTTTGGGTGCGTGTCCAGTGTACATGAAAGTTGAGACTTTTTGTAATCTGCATCGCTTACATGTCGCCGGTTGCGGTCAACCATCTCATATATCTACTTCACCTGCCAATACCTTCGATCACGTCGGTAGCCGAAAATGGTGGCACATAAAGTGCCGCTTGTACACAGCAGATAGCCGTGTCGACGAAAGAGACGTAAAAATCTTGCGTAAAAGCATTCTTCGTCTTATCCGTGTATTTCTAGACTCATAACTGGTGCTTCTGTTTTATTAAGCTTATAAATCATGAATAAATACCGATGTTTTAATATTATCAGTTTATTAAGAATCCTAATGCATTATTCAATAGCTATGACCAAATTGTCATGTGTATATACAAGTTTTTTCTCTTTTATATAAACAAAGAGGCATTCTACACGAAATAAGAGACCTTTTGAGTCTTATCCGATAAACGCAACAAAACCTCGATTGTTAAACTCGTTATTGACATCGGAAATTTAAATACACCCACAGGCAAACCACATCAAGATAGAAATAATTATTGAATTCTTTCTAAAATTGGATTGCTATAACGAGTTATATCCCTAAAATTTTTTTGATGGCAATGGTTATCGACAGGGTGCAGACACGAGCGATGGGGCGGGCGGTCCGAGCAAGGCGGGCGAGTCGAGCGGCCCAGGGCTCTCCGTGCGACAGACGGCCATCCTGGTGGCAGGCGAGATGGCAGGCAGCGGAGTCTTAGCGCTTCCACGGGCCCTCGTTAAGACAGGTCGGTACTTCTTTCGTAGACTCGTCTTCTGGCGCCATTCACTGACAAAACTATAAGTTTTTGTATACACTATGTTGAAAATGTAATTTCATTATATGGTATTTCATTTATGAATATATATGTTAGGACTACAAAGGCGTGAACAGCCTACTTATCTACAGCACTTCTAAGGAATCGGGTAGGAATCCGAAACACAACAACCTGTAGATAGCAGCTGGAGCTGAAGCGATAAAGATGTTTTTACTCATGTACTTCATGTTTGCTCTGCTCAGCGTTTATTTATTTGTATGTGACAAGGCTGGCGTAATAGGTTCTTCGCATTTAATACTAAATGTATAGTATTGCGTTTGGCTACGTATTTATTTCATGTTACTAAAATGTAGAGGAATACGTGTCCCGTTAGGATTGATATTTAAGAATACAAGGGAAGTAATAGTTTTACGGAAAGCCTATTAAAGTTGTTTCTTAGACAGTAATCTACTTAACGAAGTCTTATCAAGTTTCAACCGACCGCTGTGCTTGCTCGCCGTTCGCAGGTTACAAACGTACTTCCATACCTACATATATAATTTACCTGACGTTACATAATTTACCCTACAGTCCAGTATCATATCGTCGCTGTAGAATAATAACCGCGTATGTCCAGAGAACCAAACATTACAGGAAGCGAATAAATTTTTTCGTCAATTTTCGTTGAAATATTATTATGTGTTTTCATAGTTTTAGATGGTAAAAAGGACGTATTTAAACATAAATAAGTCCCTACTTCATGATTATACCATGACATAAATCTAAGAATAAAAAATAAATGGTTCTTTGACATACGAGGTTATAATTCTACAGTGACGATATAATTGAAAATTCTAGTCGGTACCTACTAATTTGAAGGGAAAATTCCCACAAGGAACTCCTAGAAGGCGTGGTAAAGTAAGACTTAAATGAAAGAACACCCTAAATCCTGTTAAATATTACATACTATATGTAATATTAGTTATTTGTATCCAATTTGTTGGAATATCATATTGTAAGTCCACATTATTTGATACACTGCTACGGCCTCCCATGTCGCGGTCGCCGACCCGATAGCTTCAGTGTTCACAACCAATAATGGCGAAAGAAAGTTTCATTACTTTTATTTTTTATATTGAAAACATAAATACTATTTTTTGGAACAGTGTTGGCCTAGTGCCTTCAGCGTGTGACTCTCATTCCTGTCGTAGGTTCGATAGCCTGTGCACCAATGGACTTTTTTTCTATATGCGTTTTTAACATTCGGTGAAAGAAAACATCGTGAGGAAACCGGTTTGCCTTAGACCCAAAAAGTCGACGGCGTGCGTCAGGCACAGGAGGCTGATCACCTGCTTGCCTATTAGATTAACAAATGATCATGAAACAGATATCTGAGGCCCAGACCTAAAAAGGTTGTAGCGCCACAGATTTTTTTTAAATACTATTTTTATGAATCTGGGAGTAAAAACGTCACTGTGGATTGTGGCTCCTATGTTAAAAATCGTTTGAAACAACGTTTGAAAGACAGTGAATGTTAGTGAATATTCATATTACTAATACTTTTAAATGCTTCATAGCATGCCCACACGCATTTGTGCATACCAATTACTTTTTACTCCCCTATATTTGATATGATGTTTTGTCTATCTACCCATCGTTATAAATTCTTAATTGTATATACTTTGTTTTTTTTAATGAGTCTTGTTGCTATTACTTTGCATTGTTATTTTCAAGCAGCTCGGTCGACGTCCTTGCGCAAACCCGTAATAATATGTTTAGCCTGCACAGACTGGGAGTTGTCCGTGTAATAACATTTAATTATCACTTGTGGACCCGGTGCATTGAGGAGTTTAAAATGTACTAGACAACGTCACCTTAGACGGTTTAGTGGCTATAAATAATCCATTTACTACTTTGAAAATATATATACGGTCTTGAATACTAGTCTAAAATGTCAGAGTTGCCTATTGATATTGAAATAACTAAATGCAGATAAAGATCCCGCAGAGGTTAAACTGGTTTCCAATCGATTAAGATCTACATATTTTAGTAGCAGTGACTTCGTTGTTTGCTCATTATGCTTCAGTAGTATTAACCATTGCTTACTTATTATATTGTACATTATAAATCTTCGTGCACGTGCCAAGTAGGTGCCTACAGCGGCCGTAATGAGTTTTAAGTCGACTGCAACCCGTGAATATATTGCGCAATGATTCCGCATTAACTCGACGAAGCCACGGCTGATTTCAACATAATTTTTAATAAATACATTAACATAACTCGGCTATAAAAACTTCTCTGGGCCTACGAGGCGACATGTAGAGAAGTATAACAGAGAAGTATAACAACCGCATACGTGTGACGAGGACAGGTAGAGAACCAGTCCGACGAGTTTTAGTTCAAATGAGGTAAATATTTCCGTTCTCCCTTTATTATAATGATAAAGTTTTATTCTTCAAATTCAGTTCAGTTTTAAATGATCAGATTTATATTTTTTTTATTGGCATTTAAGATTATTTGCAGTATATTTACCTAATAGATTCGTAGATACGCGATTTACTATTTATATTTACGATGTTTTAGACAAAGTTAGTTTCAATTATCGATCAACATAATATCGTGCGAAACAGACCTGTCGCATGCACACCGACATTCTCCACGCTTCAGCTCGCGCCGCAGCTATCTATCTCCCATCTGATCCAAGCCACGTAAACAAGAATATCATAATTAATAAATTTATCTTTCTCTAAGAAATCGTGTGATGAAATACAGAACAAGCAGGGTTTGACTGATCGCTATAAATATCACTTCTTTATGTAGCTATTTGAGTATTGTTAATTTTTTGGGTACAATTCACACGAGATTTTAATCACTTTAATAATACGTAGTTTATTTGAAATAGTGGAATTTGCGGAACGCCGTTTCTCTGTTGCATTTATCGTAAACCGGTTTAGTGAGTATTTGTTATCAAGGTTTTAAAATCTTGATAAAAACATAGAAATAAGATTTTGATTTCGTGCAGCCGGCGAAAGTTAATATAAATACACTTCACAGTGTTACAATCATAATTAATTGTAATTTTTGCTAAGCAAATGTACCTAATAATGTAATGTTTTGATCTGTGGAGGTTAAACTACAAATGCGAAAGGCAGTAGAGGCATGCGACTTTTTTTTTCATCTTCTTGTTTTTTACTTCAACTGGACTCAACACGTGAACTATTTACAGGATGGGTGGGTGTACCGTTGATAATCGCGATGGCGTTGGCAGCCGCTTTTAGTGGGAAGCGGCTTGGCGACTGCTGGACCATGTTGGAGAACCGCCATCCAGAACTCAGAACCCGAAACCGACACCCGTATGCCATCATCGCCAACGAGGCTTTGGGGCCCATCTGGAGGTAACTGTACCGGAGTTTTCCGTTTTTAACCGATTTCAAAAGTCCTCCCACGAGGGATCAGGACATGGAAGTTGTCATTGCGTCTCTAAAGGCGAGGATCAGTTGTGTATTCGGAGGGGAACGCGGTGGAACGACGTTCCCTTACCTTTTAGAAGTTAAACTTCTTTAGGCGCATGAGGGTAAATTTTTACGGAAACGTCACAAAGATGTGCAGCGTTTTTGTCGAAGAAAAGGGAGAGAGCGATTGAGAGAGAGTGAGAATTACCTTATAGAAATTATATTTTTAAAATTAAAATTTCGTAAAGGGAATTTATGAAATATTAGTTTTTTATATTGTATGCAAAATAATTTATTGAAATCTCAAATGACGAATTCTAAATAAAAATAAAAATGCAAAATAAAAACATTATTTTAGAATTAAATTTATTATTTGTATTAATTTTCGACACTTAATACTTTAATGACTATTAAATTCATTAAATTCCTAACATATCGTCCTTTTTCCCTCGGAAATCTAAGTTAGTTAAATATTAACAAGACTTAAAAATTAGTTTGCCAAAGGAGTTTCAATCCTGACATGTGTACTTTGTACGCACGCTCTTTTTTTCAGAACCGGAACGCGTTCCAGTACTTTTTTAGTAGATTTTTTTTAAATTTCAAATGAAAATTACATTTTAAATTGGCGAATTTGAAAAACATTAAAAAAAATAAAACGTGTGGCACTCGGGGACTGCCGCGGTAAAGCTATTGCATAATTTTTTTTTCTTCAACTTATGCAATTATAATTATTTATTTATGCAGTATTTTTTTCTTTGATATTAATTCAAGTTTTTTCTTTGATAAATTAATTCAATCTACCACTCTACCAGACTCAGACTAACACGCCTATATAGTCTGTCTCACTCTAACGCGCACCGGCTGCACCGATCTTGTCAGAGAGATGTGAATACGCAGTATGCGTTCTGTCCCGCTCTAACGCGTAAGGTTTTTTTCGTTACGGAATTTCTGGATTCGGTCTCCACGCTCGAGGCCCGCGATAGAAGCTATGCAATAGCTTAAAACTAAAGAGTATTTATCTTGCTTTTTGTGTTTTGCTTATTTTCCCTTTTCAATCAAATAAACATAATGTGTTCTATGTTCGCTATTCTACATACAATACTACTAAACTGTAAACTGAAAACAGGACTTTGCTCCCACTGTACGTTCCCTTACTTCTTATGTTACCAATAGGTACATCGGGTCTGAAGTCATTACTAGGTAATCGTGGAAACTGCAAAAGACCTATTTCACCCGGAAGTAAGGAAGAGAACTTGAACTATTCTCGTGTTTACAGTGTGGTGGTATTCGTATGCCTTATGGTCACCCAATTCGGCATGTCTGTGGTATACCTTCTGCTGGCGGCTCAGCTTATCGAGCAGATCTTCTTGTCGCTGATGCCCAACGTCACCATTTGCATCTGGTACCTGGTGGTCGGCTGTGGTGTGACGCCTTTCCTGCTTTTCGGAACTCCGAAAGATTTCTCGTAAGTGTTATGTATAGAGTATGCAATACCGTGTGCCATGGTGTTTTTTTTATAGAACAGGGCAAACGGGCAGGAGGATTATCTGATAAGTGAAACCGCCGCCCATGGACACTCTGAATGCCAGAAGGCTCGCGAGTGAGTTGCCGGCGTTTCAAGAATTGGTACGCTCTTTTTGAAGGACCCTTAGTCGAATTGGTTCGGAAATACTTCAGTGGGCTGGTTCCACATAGCGGTGGTTAGCGGTGGAGCAGTATTGGCGTAGTGGCTTCAGCGTGCGACTCTCATACCTGAGGTCGTAGGTTCGATCCCCGGCTGTGCACCAATGGAAAGTCCTTTCTATGTGCGCATTTAACATTTGCTCGAACGGTGAAGGAAAACATCGTGAGGAAACCGACATGTCTTAGACCCAAAAAGTCGACGGCGTGTGTCAGGCACTGGAGGCTGATCACCTATTAGATTTAAAAATGATCATGAAACGGATTCAGAAATCTGAGGCCAATACCGAGAGAGGATGTAGAGCCACTGATTTATTTATTTTATATAAAAATTTATTGCAGCAAATTGGGTCTGGTGGCGTTTGTGACGACAGTCTTAGCGTGTCTGTTCTACTTCATCCAAATGATGAACGACGTGAAGCCGTTCGTATTCCGATGGGGTATTCATGGCTTCACGGACTTCTTCCTCGCCTTTGGAACTATCATGTTTGCTTTTGGTGGTGCTTCCACCTTCCCCACCATTCAGAACGACATGAACGATCGCTCCAAGTTTAACACTAGTCTCAAGTATAGCTTCTCAGGTATATATAACCGTTTTAACCTTACGATTTTTATCTTCACTCTTCAGTAATTAGGTGTAGCAACCAACAGCAGTAGGTGGGTTTTAATAAATTTAAGAAATGAATTAAAGATAGCTGTGTAAAAAGGCTTACTATAAAGTTAACGATTATCTAGTTGATAAAAGGGCCTTGGACTAGTGCTAGACAGGCTACTTTTGTTTTAAAATAAGTGTTGTTTGATGATTTGCTGTTTTAAAAGAGTACCGAGAGTTTTTTTTTGCTTTTTCTCTCGACCTACACCCTCTTCTTTGCCGATGAGTAGGGATGTCTACCTATTCAAACTTAATGACTTGGAATAAGTGATACCTGTATCTTATGTTCCATAATAAATATATTTTTTATTTTTTATATATTTTTCCAATGTGAGTATTTTATGTATTCAAAGGTTTTAAATTAGTTTACTGAAGCGCAGCACAGAGCCTAAAGATATTTGTCCGCAGCCATACTGGTGCTGTACCTGGTGATAGCCATATCGGGGTACGCGGTGTACGGTGAGGCCGTGGCGCCCAATATAGCAGCGTCGCTCTCTGCCACTGCACTGACGTTGGTGGGCAACGTGCTGATGACTCTGCACCTGCTAGCTGCTTTCGTCATCCTCATCAACCCTGTTTGCCAACATGTGGAGGAGGTCGTTTACCGTGTGCCAACAGGTCAGATAAGCTGATTATGTACTTATGTATTTACAACCGATTTCTCTTCAGCAAGTGAGAAGTGCAGCGGCTGCACTTTGAATTGTACAATTTCTTTCTTTAAGCTTAACTATATTATTATCTAATACTGGCGGACCCGGGATAGGGATTGATCGTAGAAGAGTGAACATTAGGAGATGTTAGTATGTTTGTATGTTGTATCATAAATAAATATTAATATTATAAAATTAATTTTATATATTTCTCTATATATGTATATAAAATTCTCGTGTCACAATGTTCGTTCCCATAATCCTCCGAAAAGGCTCGACCGATTCTTATAAATTTTTTATGCATATTCAGTAAGTCTGAGAATCGGCTACTATCTTTCAAACCCCTAAGTGATAAGGGGTGTCCACCCCAATTTTGTATTTAAAAAAAATTGTTTTTGTTTTTTTATGATACAGCATACAAACATACCCCTAATTTTCATCTACCCTCTGGATCATAATCCACTCCTATTTTTTATTATAGTAGATAGTTATTTTTATTGAACTAAAAAAGTGTTTCCCAGAAATAATATACATGACAAAACAACGTTTGCCGGGTTAGCTAGTTTATTATATGTTTCGTATTCTAACACTTTGTACACTTATGAACGTCAAAAACGAATTTCGACTCCAATGTACTGAACAAAGTAAGAAAGCGTTTGTCATTTACAGAGTCTGTGGGGTACCGCACTCTGGTGCGTCTCTCAGTGATGGCCGGCATCCTGTTCCTGGGTGAGAGTATTCCTCGTTTCTATACGATCCTTGCGCTACTCGGTGGTACTACGCTAGCACTCATCACCTTCGTAGTGCCCTCCTACTGCTACCTCAATTTGCTCGCTAAGGAACCGGCCGGAACCCCTGCAGCTGTGTGAGTATACTTTGCGATCCCATTTCGTATAAGAAGAGTGAGAGCCTACGTGAGAGCCAGTGGCGTAACAATAGGGTGGCAGGGCTGGCAAAATGCCACGGGCCCCGACCCAAGAGGGCCCCTGCCCAAGAGATATTATGTTCTATGGATGAACGTGAAGTCTCCAATACGCATTGGGCTAGCGTGGGGACTACAGACCATTCCCTCTCGCCTAAGAGAGGAGGCCTATGGCCATTAGTGGGACATATACGTGTAATTGAGTACGCTGAAAATCTCGAAGTTTACGATTTTTACTGATAGGGCCCCATCAAAATTTGCCACGGGCCCTAGATTGTATAGTTACGCCACTGGTGAAAGCAAACATACAAACCTCCCAGCTCATTTTATTATAGTGGGTAAATAGTTGTTTCCTTTCTAGGGCTTCATCGAACTGGACCAAACTGTTCTGCTGGCAAGTAATAGTCGTTGGAGCTGTTGGGGGCGCCTTTGCAGCGTACAGTGCCTTAAGCGCGATCTTTAGCACCGCACAGGCCGTCCCCTGCTACTTGCGGTAGACGGGTCTTCTTGTGCTATCGGATCGCCTAATAAATTAAGCATAGTTATCGAAGGGTTTATTGCACCACAATTTATAATAAAGTTAGAATCTTCAAACGGCAATATTTGCACGCCGGGTTTGTTCTTTGTCGCCAGTAAAATTTTTTAAAGTTTTTACATTGTATGAGATTCGTAAAATTTATCAATTGAATATACAATGTAATAATTGAGTAAAAAATTTTAGACTGATTTAATTTAACTTCTGTTGCTTTCACGTTTATAAAATTTACAATTAATGTGTTTCGACTCGTCACTTAAGATTTACTCCATTTTTATTGCTATATTGGAGCGAGCCTTCGTTTCGTACTACAATTATATGTAATTATAAGCATTTTTGTAAACGAATTTAAAATAATAATATTGTTAATAATAAGCTTCTGTTAAATATTACTTTAATGCTAGCTTATTTAATTTTCGTAAGGGCATTATTATTAAACTGTCTATTAATATATCGTGTTTAAGTGTGCATGCCTTACAGTGCAGATATAATTTTTATTTGTGAATAAATTTCTACTTGTTTTGGATTAAAACAAATAGTAATTACAAGTAATTAAATTTTTTGGTTTGGTTGTTGAGTTTTATTGCCGTATAAAGCCAAATATTTGTTTGGAATTAGAAAATTTTATAAAAACTGTTTTTGTTATGGGCCACTCGCGTCTGCTTTGCACAACACAAGACGGCCGCATATTGCAGTCGGTCTTGACTGCAACATGCGGTCCGTCTATGGCCCGCTTATGTTTCACAGGAATACCAAACGAAACAATAGTATGACAAAGTCGTAAAACCAAATATCTTTATTGTAGACGTTTTATTGCTGCAACCACAACAGGCGATGAAAATTGTTTATAATTATATAAAAACAAGCTTATGTCAACCAAATTACAATATTAAATGAATATTTGAGCGAACTGTTTCGGAACTGCACAATTGCCAATACGGCGTTGGCGGTGTCTTTCTTACGCTAGGGTCTCAATTGAGTGCGGCGGCCCCGGAGATGATTTCAATAAGTTCCCTTGTGATGACGGCCTGTCGGGTGCGATTAAATAGCAGTGTCAGTTTCCGGATCATCTCTTCGGCGTTCTTAGTGGCGTTATCCATGGCCGCCATCCGCGCGGACTGTTCCGAAGCAGCACCTTGCTTCAGAGCGTAATAAAGCAGCGCCGCCAACGTCCATTCCGCGTAACTCTCTAACTGGTCTTCCTCGACCTCATCAAAGGCTGATATGTTCGGAGCGTTCTGTAATCATAATTGCCCTACGGTCCTTTGCGATAATTTGTATTTATGTCAAACGCCTACCTATAATATAAGGCAAAGTAGTTATTACAAAAGTTTTTGTTTTTATGTTGAATGCCTACCTATAGGGCAAAGTATAGGTAGTATGGTCCTAATAAATAATTTATTTAATACATTGTAGCATTTATTCAGGTTATTGTTTTGTTATGCAGCTGCTTTTCAGCTCGACTTCAATTGATGATCGCCTATTAAATAGTCAGTAGCGCCCTCTCAGCCTCTGCATTGCTCAGTGTTTACGAACAGGCGCCAAGTAATTTATATTTGCTCAACTTTGAAATAATCTCGTCTTTTACATTTTAATATATAATGACATACGAGACTACGTACTGAGTAATCGGCGATTGTGTGGACTGGCACGCCATCATGGGCCTTCGCGTGACGTACAGACACAACAGCGATTACGTACAATCATAGCCGATGATGCCCAATCACAGATATTTATTTTTAGTTAGTGATTGCCTTTTGTCGAAAGGATTATCCAAAGTATTCCAACAGGATAATAGAAAGAAATGCTTCTAGTCAACGAGAATCATAATGTTGTTTAGCTACCTTAACTTACTTAACTGCTTAACTGCTTTAGTACCTCAATGCGAAACTTGTTGAAGAAGGGCACGATTGTTAACTCGTACTTGACGGGACTGAAGTACTTGTTATAGTAGACTTCTCCTATGTCGTAGCCGTATCTTGATTCAGCGATGGCTGCGGCTATCACCGACGCGTCTGCGAACACCGGCGCTATGCGCCCGATCTGGCCACACGCCCTTCATTATAACTAATTAAATCGACAAACGAGTACAAGACATGAAGGTGACCTTATAAGTTGACGATCTTTCAGAAGGTGCAATTAAAATAATTTAGTTCTAAGCTACAACAATTCATTAATGCGTTGAAATGCATTGACACGGAACCAGATGGGCAGTCGCGTAACAATAGGGTGGCGAGGCCACGCTATTGTTATTGGCCAAAATGCCACGGGCCCCCGCCCCAAGAGGCCCAAGAGATATTATGTTCTATGGTTGAATCTTAAGTCTCCAATACCAATTATTGGGCTAGCGTGGGGACTACAGACCATTCCCTCTCGCCTAAGAGAGGAGGCCTATGGCCATTAGTGGGACATATAAGTGTAATTGAGTACGCTGAAAATCTCGAAGTGCAGATAGGATGAGACTTACATCTTTAACATTGATGAGCATGTTATCAGCATAGGTCCTACGTAGAACTCCTCGGGACTTATCACCTACACAGACCAATTTGTGCGAGGCACCTTCCGCTTTGCGTGCCGCCAACTCCCGCCTGATGCGCCGCGCCACTCCACTGTGCACGCCGCCGCAGAGACCTAAGTCACACGACACCTCCATTACTTCCTGTTTACCCGACTGCAGAATAACTGCGATCCGGCCCAGAATAAATATATAGGTGATTAAACTCAAAAAAGATTACAATCTAAACACATATGTTTTTATGCGCGCAGTGCCATTGTTCATTTAAGTGAGTGTTTTAATTTCGATGCATTATAGATTTTGTATAATTTATGTGAAATACAAAGGAATAAATTGTGAAGGCAGTGAGTAGTGGTAAAAGTAGATCAAACAAATAACGAACTTGAATTTATCCTAAGGAGTCCTCTTAGTTTGAAATATTCCACAATAATATGACATCTTATAAATGGTCCATGTGAAATGTATAATTATAATGCCTACATCTCAAAACCTTCATTACTAACTAAGGAAAGTTATTGCTATTACTTTTGGTAGGCGTTAACTTTTACCCATTAAAATCGATTCATTGTAATAAAATAAATCGAATGTTTTCCGTATTTTTCGTATCCCTTAGATGTAAAGTCATTGTTCTGACAACATATTTCAACTTTTGATGTTCCAGACGACACTTTTATCGTTCTAAATAACCGGTTTACAATACCAAAAAATATTAAAAGATCTTCCTACTCGAATTTTTAAAATATTTATTATTCAATAAATGATTATTTGCGTGGAACACTATAGTTAATATTTATTTGATAACGTACGTATTATACAAATAATATGAGAATTGACTACATAATGTGACTAATAATATAAAACGTAAAAGACAAATTTGCACGCATTATGTGTGTCAGAATATGCGAACTTACGATTGTACCTTGCATATTTTTGTACCACATTCTTGCAATCAATTATAAATAAAACTCAGTCTTATCTCATATGTTGTTAAGAAACACATGCAGAGCATAGACCTTGCCTTATATAGAAGTTATAAAAATAAAAGAACGCCATTCATTAAGTGGTAGATAAAAATATTAATATCAGATACATCGATTATGGCACGGCATTACCTAACCAAACGCAACCTCTGACCTTATGATTATAACAAGAATCATAGCGCTTCAATTATTATTAATTTGATAAATTTATTCGCACATGCAACAACGGCGATGATGAAAATTCTCGCGAATGTTACACCAGCCCACGGGTTTTCATTTCTGCTTGTATATCTAATATATAAAATTCTCGTGTCGCGGTGTTTGTGGTTAAACTCCTCCGAAACGGCTTGACCGATTCTCATGAAATTTGTGCATATTGGGTATGTCTGAGAATCGGACAACATCTATTTTTCATCCCCCTAAATGTTAACCCCTAAATATTTTATTTTTATTTTTAGATATTTTTTTCTGTTTTTTTTATGATACAGCATTAAAAAATACATACAACCCCTAACTTTCACCCCTCTACGATCAACCCCTATTTTTTATTATAAATGATATACATACATGGCAAAACGACGTTTGCCCGGTCTGCTAGTACAATTATATAATAGTTTGGAAAATCCAAAAGTGCACGCTTCATAGCGGTCATTCACATTTAAAAAAAAATTCTAAAACAAAAACTCAAGCTTTTAAAACAAAATAACAAATAAATTATTATCTTTAAGTCTCACGCTACGAAGAATATTTAAACATACCTATTTAGTGGCGCCATAACTCTAAGGTGAGGAACAGTCGTATTTTAGTTTTTTACAAATTATAATTAAACGACAGTACTTAGAACGCTAATATTAACTAGGAATAACTTTATATAACAAGAAAAAAAAAGTATTCTGGTACGATACATTTTTCGACCAATTGCTCTGCCACATCATGGATCCATAAACACAGACACAGACGGACGTCCAAGAATGATTGATTTTAATGTTATTATTTACTATGTTAAACAAAATAATTGTTCATAAAAAATACCATATGTGCTTGATAGATTATTTAACTCGATTTTAGTGCACTTAAAGCAAAATTGTATGTTCCTCTCTGGCGGTAGTTTTGGCTTGCGTTCTTTAGACAATCTTCCCTCCTTAGAATTCCCTACCAATTGATATTAGACGAGCTCAGTCCTTAAATTTATTTAAAGAGCTTTTTTTGATCATTTTCTTTCTGCCTCGTAATTAGCTCTGCTTATATGTATTAATTTTTGTGACTCTGTTAACCTTTTGATTGTATTTTAAATTTTTGTTTCTACACATTTACATTTATTATTATTGTTATTTTTTATTTAGATTTTAGATTTAACTTTAGTTATAGTAACGTGTTATTTTGAGGTTTTTTTGTTAATAATTTTTGCATTATAGGCAGCGGCACGTAAGTCTAGCGCTGGCCGATACGTGGAGGGGATTGCTGCGCATGTGTACTGTCGCGCGGGGGTCGGAATGCGACTGGAGAGCCAATGGAAACTCTTCATTCCGCTAGCCCCCCTCAGGTTCGTGTCAGGTCAGTTTCGTGCTGCTACTTGTACGTTTCTTTTTCATTGTTCCACTTTAGGGTTGGAAGAAATCGCTTGTTAACGATAAGGCCGCCCGTTGCCTAACTTTTGTAACCTGCTTTTATTATTTTTGTTATGTGTATGTTTTTGATTAAAGTAAGTATAAATAATTAAAAATAAAAATATTGTAATATTATATCGCAGTAGTATTGAGTCGCTCCAGTTCAATGAATCTCGGTAGGTAAGGCCGAAAGGTTCACTGGAACGCGTCCCATATAAGTCGGCATTGACCTCATTATTTTATCAAAATAAAACGTCAAAAGGCTGATTGCAAATACCACACGAGTATATCAACGGAGACGACTTGAAACGACGTGTATGATTTTGGGATATGATAGATTAGACATAAGTTCCTTCGAAGCAGCGGCGCGGTAACCAACCTCGATCCGACGTCATGGCGACGTAGACTCTTTTTGTCTTTTTATCATCCTCGGGCTTGACGACCTCCGGTTCAATCTTAGCATCGGCAGCTGGTTTCTTGTCTACGGGACCCTTCACCAAGTGGCTCGACTCGTAAAACTTGCGGGGCCCGTAGCCGAAAGGACGAGCCGCTTGGAGTTCACGCTCTGCTTTTGTAAATCTGGACAATATTATACAGTTGTATCAACATAGAACACAATAGAACTCACAAAGGATATCTACTCTCAGTGCCAACGCTATTTATTATGGTTCTTCACAAGATAATTAAATATTAGAAGACCACAGGATAGTGGCCTAATGGATATAGCAGAGGTCCAGCCTTGCGATTCTGTAACTCACTTTTCGAACTCACACAGTCATTTTATGATTTGGCATTCTGATAAGGAGGGAGCTTGTAGTTTATTGTTTATCAGAATGCCAAATCGTAAAATGACTGCTTTACGACTGATTTGAGCGCGACCGCCGTTGCGAAAACCGCTGTGAGAGTTCGAATAGTGACTTACAGAATCGCAAGGCAGGTCGGAGCCTATACTAAATATTCGTTACGATTAGTGTTAAATTAATGGCATACTTGCTTGCGGAGACCATCTTCATGGTTTTGGTGATTTTTTGAATATTTTTAATTGACTTCAGTCGCAGAGACACCTGCTTTAGTTGGACCATTTTATTCTTAAATTACTGTTACCTGACAGGACCATGACGTTCACTGTCAAATATGTTAATTCACTGTCAAATTTTTCAAACAAAAAACAATTGTTACCTGTATTAAAAAGGTTATAGGAATCTATTCTTAATTTCTTATAGGTATAGAAAACTAGCTGTTTCCCGCATTTTCTGATATTTGCCTATTCTGCTAAGACGGTGAGGGAAATTTTGTTCAAATTAAATACTTTGTTACAATAACACAAATAGCCGATGTATCTCATCTATCATTTAAGGAGACTCACAATAACCTTTTTTTTTAAATAAATAAAAAGAAAATTAAAGTAAATTTCAAAAAGATCAACGATATCCCATCCGGCCGCTTGCCATCGTCTCTGTTAGCTCCAAAATTGCTGGAACATTGTCGGAGGCAAGAGAGCGTCGTTGAACGCGGCGTGGCGAGAAAAACGACATGCACTCTTTTGCGATGTAGGCCATGGTGTCCAAGGCAACGTACTTCAAAGCCACAGGGACACTTATGTGGTCTACATATGGGGATTACATATGAGGACTACATATGGGCACTCCTAAGCGAAGGCTGGTTGCAAGGCGAGGTGATTCAGGGTCCAAAAGGGTGTGTGTGTTTTTGGCGTATGTTTGGCGAAGAATAAGCACTAAGCCAATGACCGGCTTCCCTGGACCCCAAAGGACCCGCCAACTGATGGCGATACAGCTAGACTTGTTTATTTTAGTTACTTTCATAGCTTAATAACTTAAGGCTTATTATTATGGGGTCATGCTGCTGATGTCGAAACTATTTTCATCCTGCAGAAGAGGGCTACTCGTGCAATCTATAATTTAAAATGTAGGGAATCTCTTAGAGATAAATTCAAGGAAATTAATATACTTACCTTTCCCTCGCAATATATTTATGAAAATATTATGTACGTATACAAAAATAGTGATAAGTTTACTAGAATAGAACATACGCACGATGTTAATACACGGAACAAACGCAGGCTGCAATTTCCCCGTACTAGACTATCTAAAGTTAGTAATTCTTTTTTGGGAAAAGGGATACTCTTCTTTAATAAAACCCCAGAGGCTCTTTTATCTCTGCCTTTTAATAAATTTCAGAAATGTATTAAAGGAAAGCTGTGTAAAAAGGCTTACTATCAAGTTAACGATTATCCAGTTGATACTAGTGGCCTGGGACTAGTGCTAGACAGGCTACTTCTAAGTATTTTGCGATATTTGTTTTAAAATAAGTGTTGTTTGATGATTTGCTATTTGAAAAGTGTACCGAGAGTTTTTTACGCCGGCTTTTTCTCTCGGCCTACACCCTCTGTCTTCTTTGCCGATGAGTAGGGATGCCTACAAATTCAAATTTAATGACGTGGAATAAGTGATACCTGTATCTTATGTTCAATAATAAACATATTTTTTTTTATTTTAACAACAACAACCGCCGCATGCGGCCCGGCCCAGCCCTTCGTGCGACAGCTAGATTCCTGTATTTCGTTAATTGTTGTTGTTTTTTTTTATTATTTTATATTGTTTTCATTTTTGTGTTGTACCTGTAAAATTGTGACAGAAATAAAGATTCTTCTACCCTATATATCTAATCATATATTATTACTGTTGTATAGTAAAAATATAAAACTTATGTAAATCTAATAAATTGGTAATTTTTCGCACATCCCATTTTTGAACAATTTTTAATTATACTAAATGTAAAACAGTATTTATTGTTATGTTTTGTTCAATTTGTTCAACGTCACGCGTGCCAATTCGCGCTAATTAGTTCAATTGCGTCAGGGACATTTTTGTAGTTCAATTCTTTAACTTTAAATTAAATTTATATGTTTTGGACATCATTTGTGTATATATCTATAATAATAATAATAATAATAATAAGAACTGTGGGTACATAAGACTAATGCGTCCAGCAGAATGTAGTTGTTTTAATCCAATTGCAGGAAAAGTGGCGGACATTAGCTAGTAGACAGGACAGTGGTAGTGAAGGTTGTTACGTCATGCGGCCGCAATAAAACCGCCGAGCGCCGTTTGAGCTTATTTCTTTGTGATAGTGCTTCGAACAGTTGCAACGGCTCCACGACCAACTATGGAGACTCTGTCACAGGACACTCTTTCCACCTCACCTCCCGACAAGGTAAAATTGCTGTGCGATATTGTTTTAAATGTTTTTAATATCTATTTTGACAGTATCAAGTTATTATATACTGTAAAAAAGTATCTAAACTTGTCGTTTTCTACCGAGGGATGTAACACGGCTGTGGGTGCCGGCTGATAAAATTGTTACTTCATGGCTATCAAACTATTTAATCACCTTCTTAGAAGTTATAGCACTGCCATGTAATGCTTTCGAGGGAGAGGTGATTAGATTAACAAGGTCTTCATAATGTGGGAGAGTTTCAGGTCAAGTCATGTCAAGTTTTGACAACAATTAACCGTTAATAAATACTATGGTTAAAATTATGACATTGGCATAAACGTTTTCTTTATTATCTATAATAATTGTCATTCCATACAGGGCAATTATTCGATATTGTTGCATTATTGTGTATCAGATTCAAGGACGGAAACCCGTTTAACAACAAGTCTATATTTGGCCTTAATTTTAATTGTCGCGATTTTACTTGTTTTAACGTCATTTATTCATAGGCCAACCATCGCAAAAACAAAAAACATGGCCTAAAGTTTATTCCTTTTTCATCGTAAAAAATCTTACTTCCCGTTAAGTTAACTGTATAAAGCGCAAATTCGGCTCCACATGGAGTACTGTTCTCACCTCTGGGCTCCCCAGTACCAGCTCCTTCCACTTGACCGTATTCAACGAAGAGCGGCTCGAACCGTCGACGACCAATCCCTCTCCGAGCGGCTTGATCCCTTGGCGTTGCGTAGAGATGTGGGGTCACTCTGCATCTTTTACCGCGAGAGTGTTCTGAGCAGTTGTTGGGATTAATTGCAGCGCACCACCTATGTGAAACCAGCTACCCACTGAATTATTTCCGAACTAATTTGACTTAGGGTGCTTCAAGAAAAGAGCGTACCAATTCTTAAAATACCGGGAAGGCGGTCGCGAGGGTTTGAGTGTGTCCACGGCCGGTGGTATAACTTGACATCAGATGAGCCACCGGCCCATTTGCCCCCTGTTCTATAAAAAAAAAGCTCCCCGACTGTGCACCAATGGACTTTCTATGAGCGCATTCAACACTCGCTCGTACGGTGAAGGAAAACATCGAGAGGAAACCGGCTTGCCTTCAACCCAAAAAAGTCGACGGCGTGTGTCAGGTACAGGAGGCTGATCACCTACTTGCCTATTTGTTAGATTGACAAAATATGATACAGAAATCAGCCCAGACCTAAAAAGTTGTAGCGCTACTGATATATTTTTAAATAGAAGATGAACATTTTACATCTTGCTATACCAAGAAATAAGCGGTCGGTCCTAAATATCATAGCTCATTCCATGCATTCATCTATTTAAATATTTATTCCGGAGATGCCTACAACCTAACCATAGTAATAATAATAATAATCTTTATTTCTTCTATATTTAGTATAATGTATTGAACGAAATAATTTTCAAATAAAATGCGAGAACAAGAGTTGAATAATCTTATCTATTTGTTGAGTCGCGGCCGATGACCAGAGTCATAGGTTATCAAGCTTCTACCGCGTCATAATAATTCAAAATATTTTGTATCATATGATAATATTTATATACCTACTCTAAGAAAAACAACATCACATTAAATTTGTCAAAATATTAATGATGTAAGCAATTTAATAACTGCTGCAAAACATACACATACGTACGTCCGTATCTTATAATAATAATAATCTGTGATATAATAATAATATATTATATACTAATGATATAATTTAATATATACTTTAATATACTTACCATCAGTATATCTCGAAGTTCGGTGTGCGTCTTGGCAAAGGCCTCCACTAACCCTTTCCACTGTTCTCTATCTTTTGCGACTCTTCTCCAGTTGTAGCCTGCTTTTAGTTTCAGTTCGTCCTTCCATCTCTAGCGTTGTCGGCCTCTTCTTCTTTTTCCGTCTCTAGGGTACCATTACGTCAATATTCCTCCAATTTTCCTGGGAGCTCCGTAGCATATGACCCGTTCATCTCCATTTCATTTGTTCTATTTCTTATGTCTATGTTTCTTTGCCTGTTTAATTTTCTTATGCTCAGCATGCTTCTTTCCAAGGCTCTTTGGCAGTGTGCTAGCATGTCCCTGTGCTGGTAAGAGAGTGCCCAAGTTTCGCAGCCATAGGTAGTCTGTATCTTAAGTAATAATAAATATAATTATAAAAATGTTTCAGCCAAAATTGATGCAAGGTGGGAACTACATAGCCGAAGGTCGAGACTCCACCAAGTCGACGTGGCTACTCTTCTCTCCAGGCACGAGAGATAAGGCCGGTTCTCTCGCTAAGTTCCTCAGCGTGTTCTCTAGCCACGGAGTCAACCTCAGCCACATCGAGTCCCGCTCCTCGGCCCGAAGGCCTGGATATGAGTTCATGGTGGAGTGCGAGCACGGCTCCGGGGATTTTGGAGCCGCTCTGGACGATCTCAAGAAAGATACTGGGTATCTGACCATCATTTCAAGAAACTACAAGGATAATCGATGTAGGCATTTAAGAAATTATTTTTTTTATTTCTGTACGATTTTTGGTAATTTTGTAATAATAATTTTTGTGTTAATATGTAACAGCGGCTGTCCCATGGTTCCCGCGCCGTATACGAGATTTGGACAAGTTCGCTAACCAGATCCTTTCGTACGGCTCGGAGCTGGATGCGGACCACCCAGGCTTCACGGACCCCGAATACCGTGCACGGCGAAAATACTTTGCGGACATCGCTTATAACTACAAGCACGGCCAACCACTTCCGCACGTCGAATACACCAAAGAGGAGACGGCCACATGGGGCGTTGTCTTCCAAAAGCTCACTGAGCTGTATCCTACGCACGCATGCAAAGAACACAACCACGTCTTCCCGCTGCTTATCGAGAACTGCGGCTACCGGGAAGACAACATACCACAACTGGAAGATGTTTCCAATTTTCTTAAAGGTAAATTTAACCACAAATAATTGTGTATTGCACTCTGGTTGCCATTTAGCGTTAACATGTACCCGGTTTGCAGATTGTACCGGGTTCACACTACGCCCGGTCGCTGGACTACTGTCATCCCGGGACTTCCTCGCCGGGCTAGCGTTCCGAGTATTCCATAGCACTCAGTACATCCGTCATCACTCTCGACCACTCTATACGCCCGAGCCCGACGTCTGCCACGAGCTGCTCGGTCACGCCCCGCTCTTTGCTGATCCGGCGTTTGCACAGTTCTCGCAGGAAATCGGACTGGCATCGTTGGGTGCACCCGACGATTATATCGAGAGACTTGCCACGGTACATGCTGCATTGCTTACATTCAGTGTATTTTTCGTTGAGAACACGATAAAATCTTATTTACTACATAATGTTTATCTATTTTTTTTCTTTTGAGGTCCGTTTAAATATACTTAAGTATACTTAAATATGCTTAAGTATACTTAAATATCTCCTTTATCAGTTTAATTTGTTTTTTGTTCCCGTTTAGTTTCTTTTCTTAACAATATGTAAACATGTATTGTTGCACTTCTTGCCTACCTTATGTAATTTAATTAAAAAAAAATCTTTTCTCACATTGGCTGCCTGGAAGAGATCGCTCGAAAGCGATAAGGCCGCCAGTTGCCTTTCCTTAACATGTAATTATATTAAATTTTTATATTATAAAGCAATAAAGTGTGAATGAAATAAATAAATATACTTAAATTATCATCTTATAATAGATGAACCGTAAATCTCGTAATTAAGGTTATACGAGTATCTGTGTTTTATATGTGCGGCCCAGCGAACCGCGCGACACTTAGCTGTAACGTTGTTACGTTTGGTCTGCACATTTTACTTTCGAATGTGAATTATACGTATATACATTACTTATATGATGTCTGTAAGAGGCGAATTGTCAGCGTTTCTCCACACACATAGAAGCACATTTAAAGAAAATTAACTGCATTTCAGTGTTTTTGGTTCACGGTGGAGTTCGGTCTCTGTCGTCAAGACGGCCAGTTGAAGGCTTATGGCGCCGGTCTTTTGTCCTCGTTTGGTGAGCTGCAATACTGCCTGTCCAGCGAGCCAGAACTAAAGGAGTTCAACCCAGAGGTCACTGGGGAACAGAAGTACCCTATCACTGAATATCAACCCATATACTTCGTTGCCAACAGCTTTGAGAGCGCCAAAGACAAAATGATGTAAGTGTTATGATGTAGTGCTTTAAATAATAAAAGATTTTTGTTTTACTTTATATTAACCACTCGCGTACAACAATAGAATATAAGCGAAATAATGAAATGTTAATTGCTATGTAAAGGTCAGTACTCACATACGGTATTACTCGATCGAGCTAAACTGTCGAGTAAAACCCATGGCATGGGCTTTCGTCCACACATTGAGCATTGATCTATCGAGTGAGGCGCGCCGTTCAGTATTCACCGAACCGTTCGAGTCAAAGGATGTCTGTGCAACAAAGGAGACGGTGGCTGTATTTAGCAAGTCTTACAGTGCTTTATAAGAAAATCAAAGAAAATGAAAAGAAAAACGTTAAGCACAGCTTGTAATTTATCATAACATTCATTTCTTTTATTTCTGTGGGTGTAATCTTTGGACTTGACATTCCATAAACACTCACACTGGCTATATGGGTTGAAAAAGTCTTCTATAGCGCTTTTGGAATAAACTCGCAAATCCATTTCTCTTAAAAACACGTGTTTCTATCACTAAAAACAATACCAGACTGACGCTCGCCTCGCGCCACTCGCAGTCACGTACACACGTTCGAGTCCAGATTGACGGCTCGCTTCGAGTAGGTTCGAAGGAAATTACTTTCATTTAATACCATCGAGCCAGCTCGGTGCGAGCCTTTGAGCTGTGAGTTTTGCGGTCCACGCGTTGATTTTTACTCGACTTTGAGTAAAACTATCGAGTAATACCGTATGTGAGTACTGACCTTAACGAATGAATGCAATGTAACAGTCGAGGAGAGTGCCTATGTCTGGCTGTACTCTCGGGGCGTAACTCCGACGATTTAGGAAATCGTCACGCTTATAACGCTATGAAAGCCTGAGTGAGCAAAATGTACAGCCTTGGCTCGTACACTAATAACGACAAATAGTCATAAATACTGAGCCGAATAGCGTTCCAAGATTATTTGTATAAATAATAAGATCTTTTTACTTAGACCCAAAAAGTCGACGGCGTGTGTCAGGCACAGCAGGCTGATCACCTACTTGCGTATTAAATTGAAAAATGATCATGAAACAGATTCAGAAATCTGAGGCCCAGCCCTAAAGAGGTTGTAGCGCCACTGATTATTATTATTAATAAGATGTCTTGATTCCACGTGGATGTCAGATAAAAATATCAAGAACAATTACAGCGAGTGATATACCGTATTTGAAGTAAAACGGTAAAATATTACTCGAAGGTGCCTAAAAAAAGAAAAGAGGGAAAGGTGGTGCACATCTGAAGGCTGCTTCGAAGTATATATACTTAGTTATAATCACTTTATTTTCAGAAAATTCGCTCAAACGATCCCTCGAGACTTCGCCGTAAGGTACAACCCATACACGCAGAGCATCGACATTCTGGACTCACAGAAGCAGATGAGGGATCTCCTTCGGGAAGTGCATCAAGAGATGAACCTCCTCCTCAACACCATGGAGAAGCTTTAAGACTTCAACTGCAATTTGAAAACTAGTTATATTTTTCTCGTTATTAATTTTATACTATTTAGGATAAAATGCTTGATATTATTACAAGAGCGAATTATTTTAATCTCTTATAGATATACGTTTAATTTTAAAGCCCCTTTAGACTTAATATAGCTTAAAATGAAATAAATATCTTTTAGTGTATAGTGCATCGGCGATTTGATTAAAAAATCGCGGAAGTTTCATTATATAAGGTATTAAATCTTTAGTTAATTTATGATAAAGTTCTTTTCTTTGCTTCAAACCCACTCCCTATCTGATATAGGAAAATGTGTGTCAATTTCTCTCGTTAACACTGTTTTTACTACATTTCGATACAACGGCCTAGTGATTTGAGGAAGGAATCCTTTTCAAGAAGGTGTCGAGAATTAAAACGAATTTTAAACAACATAATATAATTCATAATTTGTACATAAAAGAGTACAACTTCTTAGTACTCAGCTACTTATGTACTAAAATAATGACGTGATGAGTCGCGCATAAAGAATTTACAATAATCGGTGATTATATTAAAATTTATATTATATACAACTTACAAGAAACTAATAATTTAGATTTAAGCGAAGACATTATCATCCCTTAATTGACTGGTTTTATGAGCTTATTAAACTACCTTTATCTTTACACTATGAGGGTGAAACAGCACTTTTTAATATATCTATCTATAAACTAGTGTATTATGAGTATAGTTATAGGCTATGAAAGGGAGCAACACGGATTTGCCCACTGCTAATTACGAACTGATATGGAACCATCTCTTGTTTACATTCAAATACCTTATTTATTAACATTTTCTACAATAATCTAAAATACATCGAAACAGCACTGAAGCCTTCGTATTGGCTTATCAGCAATTCGCTAGTAGATATTGTATATTTTGTTTAAGCCGTGATAAATTATATTGTGATGTAACTTAAATTATTAAAACTGTGCAAATGGAGGTATCCATTCATCAATTTGGCAACATCGGAAGAACATCCGCCCTCAAACCAAACCGACCATGAAATTAAGGACCATCACGGGTCCTTTTACACTTTTTAGTTTTGAATTTGTGTTTAAGGGGCCGTTCGTAAGCACTACAAGGACATGGGGATCTTTGATTTTCATATTTGGTGATTACGTCAACAGTAATTATTTACTATTTTACACATATTACCCACACATCGTCTATGCTTTAAACGAAATGGATTTGAGGATTCCTACAAATGAATAGGTTTAGGTACCATTATTTTTGATAGCTTACTTTTGATGACAAGAGGAGGGGGGGGGATAAATTGCAGTAAATCTGCTTACGTAATACTGGAACGGCCCCTTACCAAAAATATATTTTGTAATATATTTGTTTCGGGCCAAATAAAATTATTTATATTCACGACTCACAATCAGCTCACTAGTAGAGTAATTAGAATAATGTTGCGAGTATTTATATTTTATAAGCAAAAATATATTTGAAGGAACGTATCACAGTTACTTATAATAAATAAATAAATTAATTAAAATTAATTAATTATCTTTTACAATTTACTGTAGAGAATTAATAACTATATAAAAATAATCAACCTCCGATTCCAATCAGAATTCCAACGCCCTCAGTTTTGAATACATCTAAGACAAAAAGTATGTTATATATCGCCGTCACAAGCTGAAGTTGCTCGCTATCTATGCCTCACTCTGCATGCAGTGGATAGAGGAGTCTTCAGAGAGCTCATCCATTGAGGAATCCGTGAAAGAAGTCCCATCTGCGAAAAAGAGATAACCATTTAAAACGCCCTTTTTATCTAACTTACCAATAGTTACATAAAGTAAAAATCATATAGATCAGTGTTGGCCTAGTAGCTTCAGCGTGCGAATCTCATCCCTGAGGTCGTAGGTTCAATCCCCTGCTGTGCACCTATGGACTTTCTTTCTATGTGAGCATTTAAGATTCGCTCGAACGGTGAAGGAAAATATCGTGAGGAAACCGGGTTGTCTTAGATTGATAAAGTCGACAGTGTGTGTCAGGAGGCTGATCAGATACTTGCCTTATATAACAATTGATCATGAAACAGATACATAAATCTGAGGCCCGGACCTAAAAAGGTTGTAGCGCCACTAACTTATTATTTAAAAATCATATAGTACTAAAGTGGGGATTACCTATTGGCACGAACGGCGGCTTGTTCTGAAACGAATACGTGAGGTGGAGGTTGATGGGTCGCCCAAACCCCACTGGCTCAGATTCTCTCGACATCACTGCTGACAAATAAATGCTGCTATTATACACGCACATACACATACATTAACAGTCGCATTCGCTTCACAGGCGCAAAGATATTCGCAACGGCTGACAAAAAATCTGGCTCCTACCTTGGCCCTGCTTGCCTTTCCCTGTGTGCTGGTGCTTCTTTTGGCGAGCGCGGCTGTTCTGGAACCAGACTTGCGTAACTCTCTTGCTCAAGCCTGTGACCTGGGCTATCCTCTCGAGGTCCTGCCCGTCGGGATTGGAGTCCAACTGGAAGTTGGCTTGTAGTACCTGAAGTTGCTCCTCCGTAAAAGTTGTGCGCACCCGCTTCGCTTTGCTTTTGTGGTAGCCCTCTGAATCGCAACCGTCTGTGATTTGATTTGAAAATTAATTTGAAAAATATTTCTCTATTTTAACGTCCGTCATAACGTTTTAAAGGTGTCTAGGTTAAGGATACCTCGAGTACAGAGCTAGGGAGTAAGAAGAGGCAATTGAGAGGTGTAATATTTCTAAATGCTGAAATTACCATCGGAAGATATAGATCCCCCGTCCAGCGTCTCGAGGTAGTGAGGCTTGCAAAGTACCCGATCCTCGTGAAGCGCGAACTGTTCACCGGTGGAGAGCTGGCGGCCGCAAGCGTCGCAGGCGAAGCAGGCGAGATGGTACACCTGCTCTCGGGCCTTCCTCACCCAGTCCGATGACGAAATGCCCCGGCAGCACTTCGAGCACTTTGCACCGAAGCTCCTGCGACAAACAACGCTCTCACACCCGATTCAATATCTGCACAGTTACAATGTTTATTCAGATCGTGACAGGGCTGTATTTAGAAACATTGTTCTTGCGGAACATGAAATTTAGACTCGCAATAAGCACAAAATAATTTTCGCAAAGCGCCTTAACCTTTCTCTACTCATGTATGATTCGCTATTACTCATATCATATTAAAAAATAAAAAAATTACATTTATTCAAATTAAAATATCGTATTGAATTTGACTTCAGTAGGGTCGCCGTGGATACTCGATACCTTGAGATCAATGCTGTGAAATGGACAGAAACATATATATAATGTATAAATTGTAATAAGGAGATATCAGCAAACATTTACATGGTACTGTGCAACATAACGTGATCTCTCCCTTCCACCTGCTTCGGAAATAAATATTCCTGGTACTTAGCGTTAAAGGTCTTATTTATGATAAGGTTTCTGTAAATAACATATTATACATATACTTCATGCCGAAAGACGTATATGTTTTTATCGTATAATTAAATCAATTAAATCGTTACGTAGCGTATAATACTGAGTTCGAAATATAAAGTGCAGTATGCACGGGACGAGTTCAGATATAAATGAGGTAAAAAATCTGGTCAACATATATATATAATTTTTTTTTTAAAAGGCACACTAACGAAACACATACAAACACTTACAGAGAACACATAACATAGAAAACAAGATACATACATGTGCATCAATAACAAGTGTGCACAACATTTAAAGGGATATATTATATTCTTGAAGCCTTGTTGTACGTACAACAAAATATAAACGATTTTAAAACAAATGGTGCCTTTCACCAGTATAATACTCGAAACAGATCTAATTTGAGTGTACGACCAACCAGAATCCAGAAGATAAACCACTCCTTATATGGAAATTGTATTCGTTTTTACAACTAACTCCCAAGCGAAATTAGAGAACTATCACTAAATAAATTCAAAGCTCTCGTTAAACGTAACTTAATCAATAAAGCTTTTTATAAATTTGACGAATATTTAATTGATCCTAAACCTTGGGATTGATTTGCTCCAGTTCAAACAATTTGTATGACTTAGCGTACAATTTGGTTTTAGTTCTGGTTTAGTTCTTCTTGCCCGTTGTACGGTAGTAAATGTAAATTTGCGAACTGGTAGTAAATGTAAATTTACAATTAATTTAACTTCTTTTCTGACGTTCATAAGTGTACTTGTTTATGTATAAAGTTATTTTGACTTTGCATTACTCAAAACATTGTTCAAGTCATCGGCTGTGAGCTACATCTAACCGCCAACTATTACTCTAGTATCAGAATATGTAATCGTTGGTAAAACTGGTGACGTCGCGTGACCCATTGCAGGTGAGCCCTCCCTGACATTTTGCGGTGGAAATAAATAAGTGTTTACGGTTATCAACATTATTTTAATTAATTTCTCTAAGTGCGTATCGGCCTCCGTGCCGGCTAATGTCAAAACATGTTATATTGAATGGCAGGCGCGAGTTACGACCGATAAACAACATCGCAACGCAACCGCAACATCAGGAAAAGGCAAATCAAACTTTTTCTTTACAGATACGTAATGACGTACATTAGAAATTTCAAATAACAATTTAATGTTGTAATATCCCCTTCAGCAACGGGGCTTGCAAACGTCCGCTGGCCCCGCAACTAATTATAATAATATTAGTGATTTTTTATAATAATATTAGTTTCATTATTCTTCAGTTAATCTGTATATCAAGTCTATAAGTGGTATGAGAGGGGCGTTGTGGAGGGCAGGGTGCAACTTATGGCGACTTGTCAATCTTCTTGATCTGCGGGTGCTCTTGGGAAATGAAAAAGAGTTCTAAGCAGTTCTTGAGAAATGGCATTAAATGTGACTAGTCCACATACGAATATCTACCAAATTTATGGTGATAATGCAGAGGTGTGTTATAGCTAATAATAGAGTGTATGAACGCGTGTGCAATAAACACTTGTGGATATAAATAATACTACTAATGGGCGACACAAACGGACCCGCTGCATCAATTTAATTATATTTCACTTTTAATTGACATGCAATTTTTGCAATAACGCAAGTGCGCTCTAAAAATGCACTTACAATACAGAATTTTAAATTTATTGTTTAATTATATGATTTTCTGATAATTTATTGCCGATGTGGCGATTAATATTTTCATTTATATGCGATACACCTTTTGTGAGATTATATTGGCAATGAAATATAGCTCTCAATAACTTTATTAAGGCTCTGTATATACGAGGAGATTATGTTTCCAATGTTATGACAATTTAATAAAATAAATATTATATTTCTATTAAAAACTCATACCTATATGGATTTCATAAAAAATTCAAAGCTTATTACAGAGGAGAGAGAGAGTCGGAGGAGAGGGAGAAGATGATCTGGGCAAAGGCCAGGCTTCAAGCTACATGCTGGGTTTAGAATATTATTTAGAGGTGTCGCTATATAATCCGAGACTACACACTTCTATATAAAATCTCTATATATATATATAACATTCTCGTGTCACAGTGATCGTTCCCATACTCGTCCGAAACGGCTCGACCGATTCTTATGAAATTTTTTATGCTTATTCAGAAAGTCTGATCTTTCAAACCCCTAAGTGATAAGGGGTGTCCGCCCCAAAAAAATTTTTTTTCGACAAAATTTTATGCTTTTATTTTTTATGATAGGGACGTCATACAAAAATACATACAACCTTAAATTTTCACCACTCATTTTTTATTTAACTAAAAAAATGTTTCCTAGAATATAAATGGCAATACAAACGTTTGCCGGGTCAGCTAGTAATACAATAATATTGATTATCTGTCAGTCAGCTTTGTAAGTTAATTTCAAATAATTTTATTAAAACGCATAACTCTAGTAAGACTACTCAAAGAGGTTATGTGTTATCAGGAGCACCTCATTAGCATTTCGCGGCGCATGATACTGAACTAAATAAAGGTGTGCGACACTCCATTACCACGCTATCGTATCGTCAGTTGGGGAACTTTTTGTTTATACTTTTTCTTTCAGAAGCCTTCGCTTATCTTGTCGATATTAACTTATGCATCTTATCACCGCTCGCATTTTAAAGTGGAAATAATTTATGAAAATGTCAATAGTGTAATTGTACTGAAGCAAGGTTGACAATTAAGATAATAAACAAAATATATGCCAAATCCAAATATGAGATGTATGAAATGAGTGATTGGAATGCGGCAAACAATCTCCACAGATTATAATTGGTTAACAATTTGCGAAGTCCAATGTGCTCTGTGGAGTGTTGCCGCTTAGCAGAGTGCAGAATCGCGTGTAGTCGTTTTATTAATTGAGGCAATACGTTAGCCGTGTTATCCAGGACGATGTTTCAAGGCGATTTGCATTTCAAAAAGTGTTGGCGGGGCAAAAGTGAGCAGCGCCTACCGTTATCGTGCGTATTAACATTTTGTCGCCGGCAGCATCAATTAAAGGCGGACCTCGCATAGTAATTAACTCGGTGACAGATTAACAAGTTTTAACACTCGGCCGTAATGAAGACGTCGCTTACCGACCGATAAATGCCTCCATTCACTATTCAGGCTGCGAGGGGTGGTCCGCGATCCTAGCTCGAAATAAACCAGTTCCTGCATCTGGTCATGCAGTCGTAGCCGCGGTGCCGGTTCGATGGGAGATTGTGTTTTATCCTTTAACACATGTGTCAAACGTAAACTATTAGAGGACAGGTGCGTGAGAATAGGCCACGGCGATGTCCGCAGCGGTATTGAAAAAGCTCGGCTCGAGTGTGGCACAACAAAGCGATGACGGAATGTTGGCCGCGCCGTGACTTGCAACTCTGCCGTTTTCATTTGTCATTTATTTTGATTGTGATAAGTCGATGCGACGTGAAACGATATATTTCAATCGGAACAGGCTCTGATAGGAATGGACCACCGGGACGCTTCGACCGAAGCCCTATGACTCCGTTGTCTGAGAACGTCGCTTCGCCTCCTGGTGTGGTTGAAGGAAACAGAATAGGAGATATACAAAGAATAGACAAGCAGAATTCAAATTATCGTAGAATCTCTATTGTACCTATTTACCTACATATATTATATATATATATATATATATATACGTTTTTAAATTATAAAATAAATTGTCTTATGTGCTCTTTCATAAAGTTTCTTTCTGATCTTAAGAAATTATGACCAATAACTAATTGCAAAGACTCACTTCAAGTAACTTCCCTCCGTGCGTCACTTCGTTGTCTAGGATTAAACATAAGTAAAGATAATATCTAATCATCAGTGTAAAATCTATATATAATTTCACACAAAGGTACCAACAAATCCAAATGGATTAAAAAGTTTTGTATATATGATAGTAATATGGGCACTTGGAGCTCAATCAGGTGGGTCACGAGGTGTCAGACGTCAGACGTCAGAAGAGCCGGCCACTTGACAGTTGACATTAAGTATCCAATCTCGATGAGGCCACAGGCTAGTGATGGTCTTGCCATATATAGGTGTGCCCTGTGTGTGTGTGTGATGTGATTGGGCGCTTTGTTGTTGATACTCTATTGTTGGAAATTTATGTCAGTTTCTTAGGTCGGTTTGTAAGTAACTAGGTACCTAGTTTGTCTAAAAATTACAATTACATTATATAAATACAAAATAAGTAATATAAAACGTTTTGTTAACGAGCGCATATTATTTAATTTATAAATAGGTACTAGAGGAAAAATTATCTGCCCTATTTCATATTTTGTGATTAATTGTTTAAGCCCAATACGAGAAATCGCGAGACAGGAATCGTTAAAATGACCGCGTCACAGCTGACTAATGCCGTAGGTGCGAGAGTGTCAGCCGTAAATCGGGCGTCGCCGCCGGCGCAGCCTGTAATTGCTTTTGATGATATATCACATGTTTATTGTTTATTTAACTTGTCTTTTTATCAGGTAGCCGGACATCTTTTGTTTTTGGCGGGAAGCCGTTTGACGCGTGTAAGCTGCTTTGTCTTTTGTGAAGCTTTTTAAGTTTCATTGTTGTCGATCGGGCGATGTGTCTAGTGATAAAAATATTTACTTATAACTTGACTTGAACTTTTAACGTTTGGTTAGTTACTCACAACACAAATAGAGTTCAAGGGAGCACAATCTCATTCTCGCTTTAATAGAAGTTTCTCTCTAACTCGAGTTTCTCGCTTATGCAGGTACGAGTACATGGGTAGCGTTTCTCTCTTATATGTATATATGTATATATATATCGAGGTACGCAGCAATAACAAGTCCCATAGTCACAGTATATTTTTATTTTATTTAGAACTTATTTATATGTACTTCAAAAAACCGTCAATTTCGTTAGGGTTCTATTGAATGTTTTTCTCTAACTCATAAATTTTGTCGAATATATGTATGTATTTTAATATAAATAAATAAAGCTCGACTGTCGCTTATAGAGGTGTAGATAAGTAGCGGTCACTCTCTCTTACAGAGGTTTCTGTTTCTCGCTAATAGAGGTTTTGGGAGCTTAAAATGACGGGTCCCGGTTATTACTCTCACTTATAGAGTTTTCTCACTTATCCAGTTCTCACTTACCCAGGTTTGACTGTATTAATAAGGAACTGTCTTTCGTTAGACTCGTTTTCGGTATAATTTAGTGATTTTGTGGTCGCCATTTGAGGCTCTTTTGTGAAAAAATTCTCTTTGCTTCTCCATTGGAGGAGATGTCATGGAATCTATTGACACTTCGAGGCCATGGAAGGCATTTCCCAGGATCAGCAGAAGGCATTGTCGGCAGCTGTCACGCGAGCCCGCCGCCCACGCGGTCCTCGCAAGCCCACAAATGCGCCGTGTTCTATGTAAATGTCTCGTGTCCTCTCGTTTTAATTATTCTATAGTCGGATAAATAAACCCAGCTTAATCGGTTCACCCTGAATATTAAACAATATAGCCGCAATCATAATATTACGCGCGATAACGATCCTGGTGCGCATCCGCCCGCGCATGTATTTCGTTAAATAATTTATTCATTATTAATATTGCCGATTCGATACTCTTGTTTAGATTTTAAATTTGGACTGACCGAGTTTACCTTTCGTTATTATGAATTACGACTAAAATGTTCGTAAAAGCTTTCCAATTGGAAATAAATATTAAAAATGAGAAATAGCTGATAAGCAATTAAAGCAGGCATATAAAGCTATCATTGCCGGTTGTTAGAGTAATTTGTAGTGCAGTCGCCGAGTGCCCGCGGCGGCCGCTGTCCCGCGATTCGGTTTAAACAAACGCGCATAATATCCCAATGAATCTCTGCTATCTAAAACAAATAACTTAAATCATGTCGTTGTCATGGCGCTCAATGGTACCCATTAAAAAGGGGGAGGGAAAGCAATCAACCAGCTGAGATTTATTTGGCCGCTTGAGGCAATTCGCTCAGACACCTCTGCCTTCTGCGTGCAGTGTACTATGGTGTTACTTCTCATTTAATCTGGCCAATAACTGGGTAATATTTCCTGAAGTATATTATTTTATCTGAGCAGTGTGGGCCTGAGGTCGTCGTGAGGAGGTTCGATCCCAGGCTGTACACAAATGGACTTTGTTTCTATGTGCGCATTTAACATTCGCTCGAACGGTGAAGGAAAACATCGTGAGGAAACCGACATGTCTACAGACTCAAAAAGTCGACGGCGTGTGTCAGGCACAGAAGGCTGATCACCTACTTGCCTATTAGATTAACAAATGATCATGAAACAGATACAGAAATCTGAGGCCCAGACCTAAAAAGGTTGTAGCGCCATTGATTTATTTTATTTTATCGTTTTCCGTATTCGACTAAATAGTTTTTTGGACCTGTGTAGGTCCTGTCCTGCCTACCACATGTGACCACCGAAATCAAGTACAAAAAGCAGCGATAATACAAACAACAATTAATGAAACTGCAAATATACAATTATAAAAAGAGTTGAACTATTTGAATCAAGTCATTATGGTTGCGACATAACCTATTAATAGGTGAGTTTCCGTGAACGTTAGTTCGTCGATGTGGGATGAGAAAACATCTTCGATCGAACAACCCGGCCCGAACTTGTATGGATATAAACGTTATAATGTTTACGGGCAATCCTTTAATTAGTTTAAAAAGGGTATAAGTCAACGTTTGCTTTATTTATTTGCAAGCATTATCCAAAAAAAAAACGACAATACCTTCGATATTACATTACGACTTTATATAATAGCGGTTTAAACTTCAAGTAATTCTGTCATGCCAAGATGTTCTGGAATTATTTATTTTATTTTATTTTAAAAGGCACACTAACGAAACACATACAAACACTTACAGAGAACACATAACATAGAAAACAAGATACATGCATGTGCATCAATGACAAGTGTGCACAACATTTAAAGGGAAACATTACAATGATGAAGAGAAAATAACTTCAACATTAAAAGTAAAAAACAAACTAGATTAAAAGAAAATACAAACATGCAATTTACAAATATATATAAAAAAACCAATAATTTTCTATTTTGCAATTATCACTATTGGTCACGGATCAACAGTGGCTGCAGCATCTTACGCCTGAAGACATGGAGACTGTCACTAAATTGATCTGCTTGGCATGTACTTAATTGTATGTTATGTATTTAATTAATTGTATAAATAAATTTTTATTTCGTACCTATTAGCCATATCTATATTACATGTGATGTAATTTAAAGTACGCTAATTTTTAAAACAACTCGTTAATTCTATCGTTAGAAACAAGTTTCTACCATTGCGTAGAGAGAGCATGCATTTCCACATGGAACAGTATTATTGGTAAGATTTGCATTGAAATTGATAAAGAATAGCGCTGATAATGGAGTATCATGACCACACAGCGAGGGTCAGAGGTCGGGTGCCTCTGCATACCTCCGGCAACCCGGCCGACTGAAGGCAGCGGCGGACCCGCGAGCCACTCAAAGGCTTCGTGGCCTTTCGAAATGGCCGGATAACGAATGACGGGATCGATGACTATGAACATTTCTAATACGTAAGGTTAATTGGACGCGGGCCCTGTATTGTGTAGGAATTAATGCGGGCCGAGCGAGCTGTGATGACCGAACTCTTCTAGCTCAAGAATTTAGCCCGATGAGAGTAAACTTATAACGTATTTAGAGAAGGCAAGTTCAGACTGATGGCAGTGGCAATCATGAACTGAGGGAGTATGCCGGTGGAGTCGCGGATAATAATCTACAAGGATTTCTTGAAACTTGGATTCATGAAATGAAAATTAATTTTAAAACGGAAACAAAAAAAATTTATTGTAAAAACAAAAATCACTTGGACCATAAACGCTCAAAGTATTAATAATGAAAGATACGATCTAATAAGTATTATTTCTCTTCTGTGTCTATACAGTCACGTAGTCAGTAGGTACAATCATAGCGAAAATGCGATCCCTTCAACTGTTTATATTAATAACATACAAGTAATCGCGGAAGCAGTATTTCTACGAAAGATACATTTGAATGGGAAAATTAACGTCACATCTTTCAATGAATGGAATTGCACAAAAACTATCTTCGACATGGGCAGTGTGAATCTTAGAAATGGAACTCCACATAAAAGGGTTTCATGATAATGACGAACAGATGCGTGTACGCAGTAACTCACTTGGCATAGTCCTGCTTGCAGTAGACTTGACGGTCGCGCAGGAAGCACGACGGGTGGCGGTCGAGCTGCAAGGCGCAGACGCAGCAGCGCAGGCAGGACGCGTGCCATGCGCCTCCGCCCACCTCCAGCAGGAACCGGTCCGCGATCGCCTCTCCGCACGCGCAGCACGTGCGGTGCTCCGTCTGTACACAGATACGTTAGAGCAAGGATCCTTCCGTTTCTCCTTATCCTACACACGAAGTAGGTGTGACACTAATAGTAACGCTCGAGCGACACCGAGGGTTACGAACATCCTCCTATTGCCAACAATAAAAACATTCCAAACACAATTACATTGTAAATCGCGAATAACACGAGATATTAGTGAAACAATACTACGCCACATGTCGCCGGTCGGCCAAAGGGGCGCTCGTAATTTAATAGAGCCGTTGCATAAATAAAACGCCCTAGCTTAGACGTGCGATAATCAAACGCTAGCTTAACTTAGTTAAATATTTGCAACAAAATTGTGCCGCACGAACGACGCGGAGGCGCGAGCTAATCCCGTTAGCGACTCACACTGTACGCTCTACAATTTCATTTGTTCATCAATCAGAGAATTTTAAATAAAGTGTACCTATGCCATGTGTGGATTTCTACAGCAAAACAATAGCCTCCGAATTTACAGTAATCTATTATTCAAACTAAAACTCAAAATAACTTTATTCATATAGGTAAACAAGACCGTCATCATCCTAACAAGAAATTGTAAATTTACATTTACTACCAGTTCGCAAGGCGTAGAGCGGGCAAGGAGAACTGGCAAGAAACTTTCCGCCACTCTTTTTAATCGCATACAAATTGTTTGAACTGGAGCAAATCAATCCCAAGGATTAGGATCATTTAAATATTCGTCAAATTTATAAAAAGCTTTATTGATTATTTTATGTCTAACGATAGCTTTGAATTTATTTAGTGATAATTCTCTAATTTCGCTTGGGAGTTTGTTGTAAAAACGAATACAATTTCCATATAAGAAGTGGTTTATCTTCTGGAGCCTGGCTGGCCGTACACTCAAATTAGTTCTGTTTCGAGTATTATACTGTATTCGCTATCTCTGTATAAGATTGACTGGTTACGCATATATGGTGGTGGAGTTTTTCAATTGGCTATCAGCTTTTGCTTACACACTGAAAGGACAAACACTTGAGGGTCCGCTTGGATAGTATTAATAATTTCCTCGATATTACAAGTTGAATGTGCCGCGTGAACTATTTTTAAATGCCAATGACTTCTTGCCTTAGATTGGTCAATTTGTTTTTCTAAACGGCCTTACAGTTGGCGAAGAGTTTGTTTATATAGGTAGAGCTTGCCGATAATGGCAGTAGAAGACAATTTATGGGAAATGTGTAAATGCTTAATGGGGATTCATATTCAAATTAATTGATGTAAATGTATGTATGTCTGCTTTTTGTCAATCTTCAATTTTGAACTGAAACTTCTTTAGGCGCATGAGGGTAAAATTTTTATGGAACGTCACGAAGATGTGCAGCGTTATTGTCGATTTTTTTTCTTAGTAAAGATGTGTTTTAATACATATCAATATCATTATTATTAAGTAACTAAATTACCATTTTTGAAGTTATACTTCTTTAGGCGCGTTATGAAAAATTGTTGAGAGTGAAATTTTACGATGCGCGCGCACCTGAGACACAAAGTTGTCAGTGTGATTATAGCGTGCGCGAGCGAGATGGGAATAAGACAATCTGCAAGTAAAAAGAAATAGAATATGCGTGAAGTTAGCAGCTATGCCAAGAATTTTGAATGACCATAATGACATTAAACAAATAAAGGAGTTTTTATTATTTTTCGAAGAAATTTAGCAATGCTTTTTCACAAAGACCTATTGTTACTTAGTTAAAAGGTTATGAAACATACCAAGTTATTAAATTGAATGAATAATTTAATAAAATAATAAATAATAATAATAATAAATAATACAAAAAATTATTAATATTAATTAATAATTGAATCATATACTAAATATTATTAAATTGTTTACGTTAAATATTAATTATATTTAAAAAAATAAAGAAAGCCAAAGAAGTATAACTTCTTACGCGCGTACATATGTACACGCACCATTTTTATTTTTTTGGTTTTGTATTTCTATAAGGGCACAGAACCAAGACCTTTTTTGCTAAGACCCAGTTGGCTATTTTAGAAAATGTGGACATAACTTACCAATTATGATAATAATGAATTTGTTACATTATTTGGTAATTGTTACCATATTTATATCTATATACATAACAACAACTAATTTTAGTTCTGGTTTTTAATTAGACTTAGTATCATTTATTAATATAGAAAAACTGGCAAAATTATTTGATGGGATTTTGGCAGCTTAATTACTCAATAATTAATTTACAAAGAAGTTTCACTTCTGACATGTGTACTGTGTACGCACGCACTTTTTTAAATTTCAATAGTCCCCTTTATCTTAAAAATTAATTCAAATTTTCAGGTCCTTATACGAGATTACGCTCCTCTAATAGATGCTTTTTGGAAATTCCATCTCACAGCTCGTCCTTCTTAGGCAATTGGTTTAGGATCTCCACCATTAAGCTGTGGAATATGCTGCCCGACTCCATACGATTGGCTACCTCCCTATCATCTTTTAAGACTCTTGTGCATAACCATTTGTTAACTATGGTTAAGGATAGGATATGTCCTATCCTTCTCGTGACTTTTGTAATTCATATACCTATTTCCTTATTCTTTTGTATTGCATTGTAATTCATGAACCGTGAGATTTGCTTTTAGTTTTTACTTTGTTTAATCATTTTTTTATTTTAGATTTAGTTTGGAAATTATTAAATTTTCAGTTATTAATTGTAATTTATTTTTGTTGATTTGTATCACTTCTTATACTTCTTACACTTACCTTTAGTATTTTATTTAGTGTTTTTCCTTACTAGCGTTGCTCCTAAGAGATCGCTTGTTAACTATAAGGCTGCCCGTTGCATCCCTTATAATTTGTTTATAAAAGAAATAATTATAATAATATAAGAATACAATCTAATATAATAATGCGTCTGTAACTTCTTTTCAATCTATGGATTATTCAACGATCGTTTGAGCCAAGAGTGAAGTGCTTTCCCCACGAAACATTCACCCGCCTATTTATATTACTCGTGAAATCGATCGTAATAAATATAGAATAAATCAAAGTGCGTTTTCAATAACACAATTGTGGCGAGGTATCGTCGATCAGCGAACAGATATGAGTGTGATAATTCACGTTACATCATAAACACAATCGAATGGCATCGAGCGGCCCTCGACTTCACGCACTCAATATTGGCACATAATAGTTGCAGCCGGCGCTCAAACAATAACAAACAGAGCCGTGCAGCGCGTTCGTTTAGCGACGCTCAGCCACCCCAAAACAAATCCACGGCAATAAACGTGGGCCGGCCGCAACCGCACTCCGCACGGTGCGCGCCTCTCACAATGCCGCTTGTCACCCATCAAACATCCTAACAAATTTCTTAAGAGTCCCATTCATGTGAAAGAATAGAGTCCGGGCTTTGTCCCGTACCAACTGATATGGATACACTTTTTATGCAACTTTTTCTGTGCGAGCGAGCTACTCCCGTATAATGACGACGTTTGAGTGTATTTAACGCCTCATTTACCACTGTTTGTTCTCCGAGTGGAAATTATGCTAATGATTCGCCTTTTCACGGAACTGGATCCGCGGGGCCGAGTCTCCGTGTCCATATTTATTCGGCGACTTACTTACGTTCATCAGCAACGATTTAATATGCGCCACTCGTACCGCGCTCGTTTAATTACAGTTTGATGATAGAAATTTTGTCAGAAAAAGGAAACGTGGCAAATTTCCCGTGGCGTGACAATTGCTGGGGCGGGATTATGCACTAATCGCCACCGCATTTGTTGTCAAGTAGCATTGACTTCTAACAATACCAGGGGAACAGGACCTTTATAGACTCGAACAGTTTTATTCACTAGAGTGATACGACAACACCTCGCCGTGGCGCCGTGTTAGCCCAACCCGTAAACAATAAATTATAAATAAACAGCACTAATTTAGCTCGAAATACAGATATTATTCAGCTATTTCTCGAACAATATCTGACACTTTACATATTTTACACCGATAATTTATTTCAAATTTATTACCACCTACAGAATTCAATCTAATCTGTAATAAATCTGACAGCCTTGGCAAATAGCATTTATAACTGTATCTCCGGATATTAGTTCTCGTCGCGCCGCTTCTATCGACATTATTATGAACATGCCTTATGCAAATCACCAGATAGAGGCGGAAGAGTCTTTCGATTTGGGTAATAACAACGTTTTCCTAGCGATTCTAGCGGTGGCTAAAGTGCCGAATGATATCCGGTCAAATGGGCAGATAATGCGTGACTGCAGGGGTCCGGGGGCCGGTGTGCGGCGCCTACGCCTTTGTCACCCATTGTTGGTGGCTTACGTTCGCAAATCCGATTTATATTTGAATATAATTGACTTTCGGCCCGGTGTCAGGTACGAAGCTTGTTTCCCTTTGTAAGCGGCTCATCTCAATGGCATTTTTATCGTCTGAACATGATAAATGTGTTCGGGAGATTAAGCTCAGTTCGTTCCGCGGCCCGAGCCGATCTCAGGCTCTCCAGTGATTTGTATTTGTAATTCTATCATGTAATAAGCTGCATAGACTCTTACGCAAATAGGTTGCCAGTTGCTGTTATTATGCTTATGAAGCTATGAATACCTAATACGACGAAGCTTTTAAATAAGAGGAGAAATAAAGCTTATCTCAAATATATAAAATTCTCGTGTCACAATGTTCGTTCCCATATTCCTCCGAAACGGCTCGACCGATTCTTATGAAATGTTTTATGCATATTCAGTAAGTCTGAGAATCGTCTACTATCTATGTTTCAAACCCCTAAATTTTTTTTTTCTAATTTTTGGAAAAAAAAAATTGTTTTTATTTTTTTATGATACAGCATACAAAAATACATACAACCGTTAATTTTCACTCCTCTACGATCAAAGCCTATTTTTTATTTCTTAATTATCTTATGACTTGAACTCTGAGGTAGAGAAAAATTCACAGAAAAACCTGAAGGTTTTCATTCCAGAAAACCGAACAGTCTCTGGGGTAGAATAGCAAAATGTTCCATGTTGGTATGAACAAAAAAGGTAGGCTAAATAAATTACATTAAGGAGAAATGAAGTTCGCGGGGGCAGCTAGTATTCAATAATAATAATATGTTTAAGACAAGAAGCAACGAGACATCGTCCGTTACGATGAAGATACTTCAAAAGAAACGCTTCTAGACAAACAGTAGACAACAAAAGGTTCGAACGGGGCTCGTTTTCTATCCGCATTTCCATAACACTAGTCAATCTTGCAAATCGGTAGCTC